CATTACATGGATAAAACTAGAGGATTCCGAATATCTGAAATAAATTCAAAAATTAGAGTAGCGAACATCCTTATTTTTTTTATACTTACATATATTAAAATTGAACTGTTTTATGAAGGAATCGAGTTGGTTTTATTTCAGGACGTCTCTATCATAACAAGTGTATTATAAGCGACTGAATAGGAAAAGGCAAAAGGGACGTTTTTTCGACCTTCATTTTTAAAGCCTTTCAAAAAACCAAATATTCGGTATATTATTCAACCTTAAGTAATTTTAAACGCGTCATTTTAATTCCAACAACAAAAACCTGGTACCATGAGAACTGATATGGTCAAACTGGGTGTTTTACCAATACAAATAAAGGCAACAGTAGTATACCGGTGTTCAAAAGTCATAAATCGATTAAGAGAAAACAAATCCGGGTTACAAACCAAACCCGAGGGAAACACATCAACTATAAGAGGAAAACAAATGAACAACAGGAACACCGAAGTGCAACAAAAACAAACATTAACACACGTAGAAACGAACTATTTGATAACAACTGCCATATTCCTGACTTGGTACAGGACATTTTAAGAAAAAATGGTGGGTTGAACCTCGTTTCATGGCATGCCAAACCTCCCACTTTATGACAATGTTAAAATATATCGCTAAAACACAACGAGACAGAAATACAGCACAAACACAAGCAAGAACATTCATAACATTCATACAAGAGAGGCATTTTCGAAATGTTCAAAATATAGTATATAAAAATGTAAACCTTCATTTTGGGTTATTTAGTATACTTAAAGATATCAAGCAGCCAATGAAAAACACAAGTGAGAATAGGATACTATAATAGCCAGAGGAGAAAGTAGAAATTTAGAAGACATAAAGGTGAAAAAAAATTCAAGAGGGCAACCAACATGTCTAAGACAATAAAAACAAACAACAGACGAATATAAAGAAAACTATGGATTGAGAAACAAGAACCTAACCAAAGTCAAAAACCTGGGTGAACGCATGTGTTCATGCAAATTTATTCAATATAAAGTGAGACATTCACAATTATTTTATTTATTTTATTTTCAAAATACTTATATGAATATATAACAAATGTAAAAATTGAATATAACAATGTATAATGTTTAATCTCATTTTTAAAATGATGCTTTAAAAATTTCACGATAGTTATCAATAATTAAAAATGTATATATACTTCATTATGTGTTATTATTAGTATTCATATATCAAGCCATAGATATCAACAATAAACCTATGTTTTGCCAGCTGAATGCACTGATTCGACTATATAACTCGGTGTTGCTTCAATCACAAACTTACTTATGTAGACATTCATTTCAGGGGTTTTTGATCAAATTCTAAATGGTGTTTGTAGCCCTTATTCAACCTAAAAGGGGCATTAGCTGTCAAATTCATGTTCACCGATTTGACTCAAATTCTCATATTTGATTTATGACATACTAAAACATATATCCAAATTACAATAAGTCAATGCATGGACTCGATAATATATATCAGCCTTTCGTATGTATTTTAGTCTAGACGCCATCTAATTAACCATCGAGATGACCTTCGAAGACTGCCGACGGTCATATAACCCGATATAAACATAAAAATGACTATAAATAGATAGCGACCACGTGCAATTGGATTTTTCCAGGTCTGTTTGATTTCATTGTATAGGTTAAAAAAATAACTTTATCATCGTTTTATCTGTATAATTTTTTTGTGGATTGAATCAGTCATCGAAATGATTCACCCTTGTTTCACTTTCAATATTGACATTTTTTTCTTTTTAATAGCTGAACATGCATAGTACATGCGTAACCCATCTCTAGCTAATGGGTTGAATTGAAATTCACATGAGGTCGAATTATTCACTTGCAAATCATTAATACATCAGCGATGTTTTTGGGCTTATTTTGACAAATTTCGGCCAAAATTACTGCTTATTTTTGTTCATTATTTGCTATTTCTTTTTTTCCCTTTTTGCTTTACTAAAAACATAAAGATGCCATGGTGACTTATTTGTATATATTAACTCAAAGTTGGCGAAAACTTTATTGGAAGACAAATTTGAATGTTTGTCCCATTAAGGGGACGTCTGAGAACTCACAGAGATCTGTAGGTAGATGTTAACATTCTGAATGAATTTAAAAAAAATAAAGTTTCAAGAAATCTTATTGTTTGGAATACGACAGGAAACACTAGAAATACAGGACATTCTTAATCTTTCGTATTCTTCCAGCTTTAATTTGAGATGCTGTGTTCGCGTAGGTTTTAGTGCTCTTTAACTTTATACTTGTTTGGCCTCCAACTATTTTTATCTGAGCGTCACTGATGAGTCTTATGTAGACGAAACGCGCGTCTGGCGTATCAAATTATAAGCCTGATACCTTTGATAACTATTGTGTTTGTCCCAGCCACGTTTCAAGTATTTGGTCCCTTTTATATATGAACTTTTCCAAGGTTTTGTTAACTTGCATCGCTATCTTCTTTCCTAATTTATGAAAAAGTACAAGGTGTACTGTTCCTACCTTACTTCAAACTTTCCGTATCTAATTTTTTTAACTATAACTAAATCTTGACTCGAACTCTTTATTTGCTTCTTGGAAGTGAACTCAAAATTTCATTCGAAGAATAACCCGAACTGGAAGTGAAGTTGTAGCTTAACTAAAACTCTGACTCGAAGTGTTATTCGAATTCTCACTTGAACTCAAGCGAGGTCGATGATTTTATATACCCTAACTAAGTAATATAAAATCCTAATAACTTTTGTCATTCCTTGCGCATTATCTTTCAACAGACATTGTAGTTTGATAGGCCGATTTATGCATGGCGAATCTACAATCTACACTTTTCTCTGGTCCTGTGAACATTCCCATTAAAAATGATTGGTGAAAAAAACTCAAGTGACACCCTCTAAATAAAAAGAGAGAAGATACATTTGCAGTAGATAGGTAAAAGATACCAAAAAGACATTCAAACTCAGAAGTCGAGAACAAACTGACAATGCCATGGAAAATACGAGAAAACGACGAAACGACAAACAACAGTACGCAAAACAGAACATAGAAAACTTAAGACTGAGTAGTACGAACCCCACAGAAAACCGCGGGTGATCTCAGGTGCTTCAGAAGGGTAGGCAGATCCTGCTTCATTTGTGGAACCCGTTCAAGGTGTCACGTTAGTATTTACTTTCCAGCAATTAGGTTACTCTTTTGACTTAGGTCAACTTATCTGAACACTGTGATTAGACAAAACAATAAAACATCTACTGAACATATTTTTCCATATCTGAGGGATCCATCAGGTGCAGAAAAATATGAATTTTACATACAGATGAAAATGAATTTTTGAGAATTTTGTATTCACTGCATGATAAATATAGATTCTACCACTGCATCGAGTGTGATACGATATTTATCCACTCGAGACAGTTGAATTTTCTAATTTAAAACGCGAGGCTTGCCGAGCGTTTTAAATATTTAAAATTTAACTGTCGAGAGTGGATAAATATCGTATTACACGAGATTTGGTGGTGGAATCTGTTTCTCTAATGATTTTCAAACAATATGTAGGCAAACTTCTTCCTTCTTTTTGAATGATCCGCAAAAAGATGTGTTCTTTCTATGTGACGTCATCAGGCATGGTCGCCTTTTTTCATGCCGTCAAAATAGGAAATTCAGAGGAAAGCAAGAAAATTCTACGTCATAATCGGATTTTAACCAATGAAGAACTGAGATCAAACGAACCACACGTTGATTAAATTTTTTTTTATACAATGGGTGCAGAAAGTGATAAATTGACGAAGAATTAGAGAAAAGCCATAAAAGCACTAGTGGCCTTAGGTTTATTAACATTTCAGAAAAAGTAAACAAGCATCATACATATTCAAATCATTTCGAAATATAAAAATGGAAATGCTTCAGTTAACTGTGTATATAGGTTCTGGGTCAGTGTTAGAAAGTCTTGAAAATTCTAAAAAGGCTATCATTATCCCTATGGCCCAGGAAATACTACCGTGCCACCTAAACAGTCATACAAAGCATGAAAACATAATCCAATCATAGCTGTTTTCTTTTAAATGGACGTTCTGGTCATTGTCAGTGTGTTAAATATTGTGGGAAATCGAAATTTTCTTATGGCGAGACTGGGTCCACAACAAGACGTAGAGGGAATACGAATATAACAAAAGAATATATACTAGTATCAACTGTTGATTGAGCTTACAATCAAGGGTACGCTACCATATATTCTATTGCTGCAAAGTTTGTGCAATAAATATATGTTTTGTTTGATAAATCGCAAAAACAAACCTGTATAACCAATAGCACATTAAACGGAACAACCAGTAAATTGCGAAAAAGTGCAAGGATACTGCAAGCTGAGCTAATTCTGTATTTTTGTTCAATAATCAGCCAACATTATACTTTCCTCATGAAATACTGTTACATTTTCTGTTTCGTTTTGTTTTTTGTATCTAAAAGGATTTAACTTCAAATTTAAATCAAAAGCAGAATGTAGATTGTCGTCTACGTTTTCATAAACAGAAAGCTAGCTACAATTAGGATAGTAAGAATATGCCGGACCCAAAAGATTATTAATGCCACTACCACAGTACATAGGTACAGATAAATTCTTAGACGAATACTTGTCTTTCACAATAATATGCTTCAAGCTTACAAACTTCTGCGGGCAGCAAAGTGATATGGTTTCCAGAGAAAAAAAGGCAATACATTTTTATATTAGGAGAAATTATACATTTCACAACCCCTATCAGCTTTGTTAGTAAGCATTCATTTTTTTCATAAAAATGTCTATTCTACCATTATGTTGAAGCTAGGTTTATAACAGCAGAAAGTAAAGGACTTCAGTTTGCAATTATTTAAATCGAATGATGATTTACATACATATATACCATGAAACGCTTCAGTAAATGTTAAACAGGATGTAAAGTTTAATCGAAATCTCCCTTTGGCACACAAAGGTGTGCACTTGTTCCTGTACGATGAAAACAAATAAGCTTCTATGCGTGAATAAAAGATAGTACATAACATTACATGTTATATAGAGACCGTATTGTGTTTTTAATACATTCTGCAAAATTGATGTTACCAGTTATCTTGGGAAATATATACAAATATAACATATATAGATCATTCTCGTAAAATACAAGTATGTATAATTACTAAATATGTGTCAAACAAATAATAATTTCGATTATACAATACTAGTAATAATGACGGAAGAAAACAACAAAACTGTATTAAATTAGCTATAAAACTATATTACAAACAACACATACAGGTGTTTTTTAAAGAGTACAATTACGCTTCCTGTTTGGGCTGCAATACAAATTTGATTTTATTTCCATTGATCTTTTACAGGGTATCTAGATTTTGAAGCGAGAAGTAGAATGATATAAAAAGAACAGTTTGATCGATCTTAACTGTCATATTAATTCAACTATGGATCTATCGTTAGTGCCAGAAATTTTTATTATTATTTTTACTTTGATTGTTATTGTCGCGCTGGTGTTGCTATGTATGTCCGCACAACACAAATGCTCAGTAACTTTTATCAGCATTCTTATTGTTGAATATGCATTTGAAGTGCTCCGTTTTTTATATTTTGTTAAAATTTACTGGAATAGAACAGATTTTTTCTTGTTTGGTCTTCCTATCAGAAGTATGCCTACAGTTTCGATGATGTGTTCCGTACTACTCGGCACAATTATATTATCATCCGTTTCATTTAAAAAATCGTTAGTAAAAGTCTTCTGTTTGAATTACTTCTTTTTATCGCTTATATTAATTATTATATGGAATAATTTCTTGGCGACATGCTTGATTGTTGAACATCCTGACCAAACCAAACAAATCTCCTGTGAGTCCTACCTGGAAGATTCGAACCTCATGGATTACTACCAATGCATCAACGATGAGTCAAGGAGTAAATTACATATCTTTAACAAACCCCGACTTAATACAGCTTTCTATTGCTTTGAGAATCGAACACCATGGACTAGCAGTTACTTTCTCGAATTTTTGCTATTATGCGTCCCGTCTTTTGCAGTACTTTATGACAAATTATACAAAACGTCTTCATTTTCAGGTTAGTATGCATGACCTTTAAGTACAATAACATTAACGGTACCAATCTTCTTAAGGAAATGTAGTTACACAATTTGTACGTGTTGTAAGCTTTTAAGATAAATAAAAAAGACAGAAATAGTAACGCTTTTGCAATTTCCCAAAGTGGTCGAATAAAAAGAAAATTGACTTTAATAACTTATAACTTTCATTCAGTATTTTCAACATCGTAATGATTGAATCATTAGAAAACTGTTTCCGAGTGATATTTTGTTTACATATTTTGGCGATAATGTCTCTAGATCAATTTTGAAATAACAAGAATGGGTCCATAGTATACGGATGCCCCACTCGCACTATCATTTTATATGTTCAATTGACCGTGAAATTGGGGTCAAAACTCTTATTTGCCATTAAGATTAGAAAGATCATATCATAGGGAACATGTGTACTAAGTTTCAAGTTGATTGGACTTTAACTTCATCAACTACCTTAACCTGAAGCGGGACATACGGACAGACGGACGGACGAAAAGACGCACAGACCGAAAAACATAATGCTCTAGGTGGGGCATAAAAAAATGTAGTGGTTATGATATACTTTTTTTTAACTTCATTTATTGTATTTTTATCGTTTCCAGCTGTATGTTAAAATCACGTTATGAAAATGTATCAAATATTGGCTACTTGGCTACTGAGCGTAAAGCAAACATCAATCAATTGCACTATTTTAAGTAGAAAGAAATTTAAAAACTTCAACGGAACCTCAAAATTGTGAGCTAGTTTATCCTTGTGTAAAAGGTATAAGTATGATTTTGAAAAAAAATCTAGTTCATCAGGCTTATAATTATGTGAATTACAAAATTTATGAATCCTTTACAGTTTTGTAGAACATTCATAAAGTACCTAAACATACCCTCATTTATATCTTGTTTTCTTTTTCAGAACTGAAGAATTCTCCTTCAAAAGAAACATGTTCCATCTGTCGTTTCAACATTTCACTTTTCAACCATACAATGGCCCGCGCCCTCTTTATAATTTGGTGCGTTAGACCGGCTTTTTTTTTATTTATTGCATCCGGATCTTTTCGTGCTACATCTATTTATATTGACTCATTTATCATGATATCATCAGCGACATTTTTTATTCTGGTTTTGATTGACATTCTAAAGTTCTATCTTTTTCATAAAATAGACTTTATGGTTGATAATGAAAGTGAATATAACGGCGTCATTAAAAACTGTGGTCAACAAAAAGAGAAATCCCTAGATTGTGAGCAAATTGAATGCTAAGAATAAGTTGTGAGCTATATGAATGCTTAAAATAGATTTTGAGCAAAATCAATGCTTAGAAAAAAATAACTTTCGGCATGATTTAGATGTTATAAGCAAGAACGTAACGCTTCCGTTGGTGCATAATAAGAATTTTGAGTATTATAGAAATATAAATATATATATATATTCACGTATCCATCAAATAGTTTGTGCTTATTTTCATACCAAACGATATTGTGTCTAGTTGACTCGGTATAAATTGGATGAGTAATGTTAGGAAAAAAAGTATATTGTTTTCTTTTCAAGAGGTATATTTTAGCGGTTTTTAATTATTAGTACTCTAAGATCTTGGTATCTTAGATAAGCAATCTAAACAGTTCATGGTAAAGCTCCTTTAATATAATGATCCTATTGTATTATTTGTCAAATAATAAATAAAAAAAAGCACATTTACTTGCCTTTTACATAGTATATATAAATTATACACTACAAGCAATGTAAAATTGAATCATTTTAATTACCTGTTTGTCAAACTAAAAATTGATTTTTAATTTCAAAAAACGAATTTTGTCACCATAACATCATTAATTATGTTTTCATATAATGGTAGCCTTGTGCAAATTAATGGGATTTTTTATGACAGAATTGACTAGTTTAAGCAAAAATGTACACTCAGAGCTTAGAGATATTTAACTGTGGAAGGTGGAACATAACGTGGAAAATGTGTATAATATCATTCTTTTGTTGTTAATATTTGACATGTATTAAGTTTGAACTGTATTATTGAGTATTATTTTTTTTTATTTCTGGACGTGTCTATATTATAACAGGTGTAAGATAGTATTTAATGTGTATTATCATCAACTGAATAGGATAAGGCAAATGGCCTTTTTATAGACGTCATTTAAAAACCTTTCAAAAAAACAAGTATGCTGTATGTATTTCAACCTTATGTAATTTTTAACGCGTCATCCTAATTCCAACAAAAAACATGGTACAATGAGTGTATACTGATGTGGTCAAACTGGATGTTTTTACCTAGACAAGGGAGACATTTTCGAAATGTACAGAAAATGAACTCATCATAGATACCATGATTAAAATTTAGTACACCAGACGCGCGTTTCGTCTACGAAAGACTCATCAGCAACGCTCGAATCACAGAAGTTAAAAAATGGAAATAAAAGTACAAAGTTGAAGAGCATTGTGGACTCAAAATTCCAAAAGGATTTGCCAAATACAGCTAAGGTAATCTATTCCTGGGGTAGAAATTCTTAGTATTTCGAAATATTCAAAATTTTATTAACAGTTTATCTATAATTATGACCTTATCAATAATACTTCATGTCAACACAGAATTACTACTGGGCTGGTGATACCCTCATATATAATATAGTTTCGCAGTATTTAATAGCAATATAAACCATAATTTTTTCAATAAAGATAGCAAGCAATCAATGAAAAACATAAGTGAGATTAGGATAATATTATGGCCAGAGGAGAAAGTAGACATTTAGAAAAAAATATCAAGGAGAGAGATTTGTAGAGGACAACCAAATTTCTAAGACGAAAGAAAACAACAGACAACACTATAGGAGTAAGACGAACAGACAAAAACAATGCACAAAACACAGTATAGAAAACTACAGATTGAGAAAATCCAAAGTCAAAAACCTGCGTGAACGCATGTTGTGCAGAATTATTCAATATCAAATGAGACATTTCTAATTATGTTATTCAATTTATTTTGAAAATACTTATATAAATTCATAACAATTGTAAATATTGAATATAACAATTTACAATGTTTAATCTCATTTTGGTGCGATGCTTTCAACATTTCACGATAGTTATCAATAACTATATATGTATGTAAACTTCATTATATGATATTTCATATAGTAAGCCATATATATATCAATAATAAATCTATGTTTTTCTAGCCTAATGTAGTCAAAGACTTTGCTACTCGGTTTTACTCCGATATCAGACTTACTTGTAGGTCAAGGTCAACTTTAATTAATTGTTCATCCTTAATCTAAAAATGTATAAAGCATATACCGGTTATTGAAAATGAAAAGTTAATTAATGAATCCTTTACAGTTCTTGATCTAGACAAAACAAAAATATTTCGAATAAAATTATACTTGGAATTTCTTTCAATCAAGTAATAATGCAGAATCGACTTCAACATTTAGTATCACAGATATGGACCAGTTTATTAATAACAAAAAAGTTTTTTTTCATAATAATTTATCCACCTATTAACTCTAAATTTTTAGATATGAGGATGAACGTCTTTTCTTCCTTATATGGTAAACAGTGCCACATACGGCGGCTACCAGACATATAACTCCTAATACAGCTCCTGTAATAGTGGCACTGTTTCTGATCGTCGAACCTTTCTCGGCTGTTTGGGGTGCACTTCCCTGCTTATCATTCTGGACGTTTTCAAGTTCATTTTGTTTTGGGCTGTTCTTTTTGGTGTAAAAATAAGGTGCTTGCTGAAAAACATAAAAAAAAAAGTCTTTTAATGAAATCGAAATCAATAAAATTGACTCTAAAATTATATGTTATAGTTGCCAAGGTTCGATGTTAACACGATCAAAGTAGCAAAAAACAACACTGATAATATATCCTTTTTATTTCATATTATAGCTTCTGTAAATTACTTTTAAAACTTGTTTACGTCACTTCACATCCAGCATACCTATTTCCAAGTTTAGTTATATATTATTAACTAAAATATTCTTATTTTGAATCAAAACCATTAAAATGATTTTTATGTGTAATTTAAAGTAAAAAATGAAAAAAAACACGTTATATAAATTGCATGCGTCCGAAGCGCTTTTCTGGATTTACCTTCATCAGGAACGCTCAAAGCCAAATATTTGAAAGCCAAGGATTTATAAGAACCGAAACAATTGATTAGCTATATGACCAAAAAGAACCTAAAAATAGTCAAATCCATCTAAGGCCAACTTTGCCTGAGGGAAAGTAAAGATCTCGGAAATTACTTTCAGAAAAAGGCGATTCTTATGTACAATTGAGAAAATTTACATCTTAATATTGTATAATATTTGGCACGTTCGACGCAAGGTCGCTGCTGGTTCAAAAATTGTAGATAAAACAGTAACCGCTCTGGTAAATAGTAATAATGAAAATGAATACAGATATCATACAGTGAAATAGAAAATTGTCGCATGGAATTTATTTCCGTTAATTTAGCGATAAAATCTAAATTAATGTATCCCCTGAATTAAATTATCCCCTCCCGAATAAAACTTATCACAGAGTGTGTACTTGCATTAGCAACATGACGAGTGCTACATCAGTCTTTAGATTTTTATGTTGTATTTTGTATACTTTGTCTTTTCGTCGTTTTTCCTTTTTTGCCATGGTGTTGTCAGCTTGTAGTCGTCTAATAAATTTGAATATCTCTTTATTTTTCTCCGCCTCTCTTCTACTGTTTTTTTCTGATTATCGGAGATCATAAGAAACATAAAATTGACTGCGTTCTCTTTTATCAGAAATTTACAGAGGCAAAGAATTATTAGATTTATATAGAACAACAAAGTAAAATACCTCATCGGGGCATTCAACAGGTACACCAGGTCTCCATGATATTCTCTTTTGCCCAACTGGTTCAATCTGATTAAGACAAATGAATAGAGAAATCTTAAAAATGTATAATTAATAATATATTGGTTCTGTCTTCATAATAAAGTTTTATTTGTGTATTTTTTTATTTGGTTCTAATCCTTTAAATAAGCCCCAGGTTTTGGATGCTTTATCTTCTTATCCAGTAAAATATGTTGTTGTTCCAGGAGAAAAAGTCTCTAACTATATGTTTTATATACATAGATCTTTATTTGGATTTCCTAACCAAAAAAAAAGAACTTGAAATTCACAGGAAATCTGGAAATAGTAAAAAAACAAAAATGCCTAACTCCAAGGAAAATTCAAAACGGAATGTTCCTTATCAAATTGCAAAATCAAAAGCTCAAACACATCAAACGAATGGAAAACAACTGTCATATTTCTGACTTGGTACAGGCATTTCCTTATGTAGAAAAAAGTGGACTAAACCTGGTTGTATAGCTAGCTAAACCTCTCACGTGTATGACAGTCGTATAGAATTCCAAATTCCATTTACACATCCACATCATTCACGAAATACTAGATTTTAAAAATTCACAAATTCGTCTTTCTTTACTTTGATATTTAAAAAAAAAATAATCGATTAAAATATTCTTTTCTTATACTGGATACAATACTTCAAAATATCCTTATACACAATATATAGCTGGTTCGTCTAGGGGTTCTCCCTACCATTCTCTCTACAGTAAAGTATGGCCTTCTTAAATATTGTGATGATGTATACTTCACCAACGGTGAAAATCAGATGTGGATTTTCAACATTCTTAAATCTACTCTAAAATCTTCAATCACAAATGTTACAGTTATGCTATGATATCATTTGTTTTTATTTTATCTACATTACTACTGAAAGCTCGACTATATCTCCTTAAATAGTGCATTTTCTGCCAAAATTGGAGTCGTAGATACAAATATTTTGTCTTAGGAGACTTTGCAAAGAGCCACATTGAATACGATATCATTAAAATGCTAAACTCTTTTTATCGAAAACATGTTTGTTGAGATTGGTGGATTGATATTTCAACAAACAATCGGTATTAAAATGGGTACGTATAGTGCACATGCCAGGCCGACTCTCTTTTGTGCCCGTATGAAAATTAACTGAAATCGAAACAATTTTACGGTCATCACCACACATTGGTTGACTGATACGAATTTTGTATATGTCTCAAATCAAAAGCAACATGTTTTAGCTATCTTATATTTTTAGACGAGAATAGTCCGCTAAGCTGTAGATTATCCGATAGTGTCCTTTTCCCTAACATGATATTGTTATTGTGTTGATTCGCATGGTTTGTGATGCATGCAAAGTAGGAGAGACCTATCCTCTCGACTCACCCGGTCCTGTTCCATTTTGGAGTTAATGAGATTCCTTCGTTCTTTGTTTTTTACCCTGACCTTGATTTGTGTGTTCTTAATCGATTTTGAACATTGAATAGCTACTGTTGCCTCTAATATACACAAAAGAATGACTAGGAATGAAATGATATAAGATGAAATGACATACATGAAACAATTGTTATTTACAATATTTGATTTAACAGCTTCGATATAATGGCTAATCTATATGTCACCAATCGTATTTCAAATTATAAACAGAAGTTTAATTCTTGAATTAGTCATTTACCACTATCCTTTGATAAGGTCAAATATCTTGTAGTATTGTTTTACTTTATTGTGTATTCAATTGAATTAAAAGCCTTTTGGCGAGACTTTAATTGTGATTTCCAACTGTGTTTTTGTACTTTCACAGAATGAAATAAAGAGGAGAGGTTCTTATAGACATAAAACCAGTTTAACCCCGCAGTCTGTTAGTGTATATCCCAAGTCAGGAATCTTGTAATTTCTTGTCTTTTTTTGTCTATCTGTCGAGAAATTAATGTTGGTTACAATTTTTTTGTCACTTCTGTTGGATGTATTTAAAACAATACAGTTTATTTTTTTTTTTTTTATCTATTGTTGAAGGTTGCATAATGACTTTTAGATGTTTATTTTCGAACTTGTGTTGTTAGGGCAGGCGGCCAAAATCTCAATTTTGATCCTTTAAATTTCCCTGTTAACAGAACAGTGGTGACTTTGGTAATTTTCTGTTTTAAACCTTTTCGCTGGATGTTGAAAATTCGGTCAAGATGTAGATATTGTATATTCTATTACATATTCTTCCGATGCATAGATATTACTTATTCCATATCCGGTTTCGATGTCCTTTTAGTGAGTATTTTAGGTTTATTACTCTCCATCAGTTCATAGTTTACGATTTTCAATAAATTATTTGACCATATCTAGTGCTAAAATTAATTTTTGAATATTAGTTTTGTATTATATCTCGGTGCTAATGTCAGTGTCAAATTATATGCAGTCTTAGGTGATGCTGACGACGTATGGATGTACCTTGGCTGTTTTGGTTTACCTTTTATGTGTTATGTTGGGTTTATTTTACTTTATCAGTCCATGCTAATGTTTGTGGTGAGCATTTCTTCAGGGAATGACTAGCCGAGATGTCAATGCTTTCCTACTGGCATGTTATTAATTTGCTTTTGTTATTCGCGAAATTTTCTAAAGCCAAAAAGATGTGAAATTTATATAAAATTTTCGAAATTCGCGTACAGTGCATCAAATATATATATATTTATAAATTGTCTTTACTTAAATATTATATATTACCATATTATCCCATAACGCATATGCAGCTGCTTCTTGTCCTTTAACACTCAGATGAAAGCAATCTGGTGAGAAATAACTTAGGTCTGTTGTCCCATCCTCCTGTACAAGACAAAACAAATGCAACCAAGTAAGTTTATTTCGAAAAGTTATCAAGTCTCTTTACGATTGCTCTTTGCTTTCACAAAGTATTTGATAATACTAATATAGATATATGATTTTATCAAAATGTTGTGAGTTGGTTTTTCCTAATCTATTTTTTTTTACGATTATTTAAATTTTAATTTCAAACCTAAAATTCGTCTATGACTTCCAACTGTATAGGTTTGAGAAATGAAATAGAATTGATATGAAGTTTAAAAAATTAACGTGATCACAGGCATAAAATTAAATGACGAATTGACACTTTCCACAGGGAAGTGGTACATTGACCGAAATTCTGCGGCATGCAAAACCTCCCACTTGTATGACAGACATTTCCATTCGAAAAGATAAGGCAATAAAATATATATTTGGCAAAAAATAAGTGCAAATTTAAAAGCTGCCATGCATTATCTTCAATTTGCCACAGCATGATTTAGGTCAAAAAAAAGAGAGGCGAAAGATACCAAAGGGACATTCAAACTCATAAGTCGAAAATAAACTGACAACACCATGGCTAAAAAAGAAAAAGACCAACAGAAAAACAATAGTGAAGGGTATTCAGAACAAACAAACAAAATCACATTTGTAAAAAATCTTAATTTTTCTTGTTGTGTATCCTTTTTTAAGCGTAGTTGGGATTTGCAAACCCAAGTAAAAACTTAATACTAGGTGGGATGTTATAAAAGGTAAATGAAAGTTTACCTATAATTTTAAAGTTTCTTCGTCTGTGCACGATGTTTTAGAAAAGAAAGTATGGAAAACTGCATAAAGATATAGTTTTGTAAATTTCATGAAAAATGTGCATGTAAAGACGCACTTATGACTTCATTTTATAAAAAATCTTATCAAAATTAATAGTATGGATATTTCTTAAGTTTATGGATTTCCCCATAACATATTATTCGTCATTACTTATTTTTTTATTTTTTTTTTGGTGGGAAAAACAGGGTTTATACTTCTACTCCTTTGACTAGGCAAAGAAAAATAACATATGAATTTTATACGTTACAATTGAACATATACATATACTAGTACATACTTTTGTTGGTACTTCTGTTTCTGAAAAGAATGGTTGATCGACAACAGTGAAATCGTCCCTTGTATCGTATCTTCCAGATGCAACCAAGTCCCGTGTAACTTTTTGATATGCAGCAACCAGTACCTGAAGTTCTTCCTTTTCTTTTTCGTCAGGATATGAACCACACCGACAACCAAAGCTGGACAAAATATAAATAGTTCCTTATCTTATTGCGGTTGTACGCTGTTTGAAAACACAACGTTTTCTCTCCAACAATGATCAACAATTGCAATAACCAATTAAGTGTCAACTTTTCAATTTGCTAACCTCCATTGCTTATTCTTAAGTCGTCAGAACATGGGCTTTCATTACAGAACTGAAGACTTTTTTGATAAACAATACAAATGCACTGTTTCCGTTTTTTATTATCATTTGAAATCTCATGAACACATATCTAAAATCCCTTGCTTTCATCAAAACACAATTATTTTGGTGCAGTAACCATTAAAACACAATTCTTTTGTTGCAGTAACCATTAAAACACAATTCTTCTGGTACAATAACCATCAAAACACAATTTTTTTGGTGCAGTAACCATTAAAACACAATTCTTTTGGTGCAGTACAATCAAAACACAATCCTTTTGGTGCAGTACCATCAAAACACAATCCTTTTGGTGCAGTACCATCAAAACACAATTCTTTTGGTGCAGTAACTATCAAAACACAATTCTTTTGGTGTAGTAACCATTACAAAAAGAGGCAGACGATACGAAAGAGACATTCAAAACTCATAAGTCGAGAGAAACTGACAACGCCATGACAAAAAAAGAAAGACGATGAAAAATCAAACAAGTTCACAAAACTAAAGATTGCGCAACACGAACCCCACCAATAAACTACTAAATGAAATATTTTATTTAACTTACAGCTGAATAGTATCACATACGAATCCTTCGCGTAGTGTTGATGCAAATCCTATATTGAGAACTTCTACTAAATTTACAAAAGCTCTTGGAACTTCAGCGTGTAAAATGTCTAATGCCTCTCGAATGTAGCCAATATAATTTTCTGCTGAGTATGCCTCCTGAATATAAAGTTATAGATAGATAAACACATATTCATCATATACTTAGTAGTAAATACAAATTACATTTCTGGGTAATACAAGTAAATTTTGTGTGCAATACAATCAATGACAATCGTTTTGTATCATCCATCCGTCCGCGAAATGATATCGATATCAGTAAGGGATATAAAGGCTTTATGAAACCTCTTATCCGTATAACGCGTATATGTCATGTGAATTTTTAAGTATATGATAAAATGTATATGATATGGCTCAGTTTTTCAATATCACAGACTGTTTCAGTCCTCAACCAATATAAACCCTTCAGGAGAGCTCTCGGGATTATTATGGTGTTTCGAGTTGATACGAGCGAGATACCGAAAAGGAAATACAATATTTTCTATTTATTAGTATATATGTGAAAACATATTTAAAGACACCTTTCATATTTTACATGCAGGTCAAACTCATCTTCTTTTGACTTTCAGCATAATTTACTTGTGATTCTGTGCGTTTTGAAATCAAATGCATTTTAAAGTACCCCTAAATGTGTTAATGGAAAGTTTAATAAAAGTCGACTAAACAAGAAAAGTAAATAAAAATGGATTTTTTTTTCTTTGGATGGTGTCGTAAACTATTATTTACTAGTGTATTTTAAATTAAGTTGGTATACCTAGAGTTATCTTTGACAAAGTGTTTAGAACTGTCATAACACTAAGAGTACCTCCATGAAAGTTAGTATTGTCCAACTTCCAGCAGTCATGAAGCTGGAACTTACTTACACAATCAGTGTACTGTTTTTAAAAGTGATTTGCGAAAGAAAACTGCCACTTACTAGTATTGGATTTTTTGAGAGTTTTTTTTATTATTTATTACTTATTGATCGGAGTTTTTTAAATTGTATATTAGCACCTTTGTCTATCTCTTTCCGGTGCCATTGTAATGAGTGTTACGCCTCTCTGTGTGGCATTTTTATGAGGAAAAGAAAATAATTACCCTATCTTCACAGAAGTCACACAAATCGTTGCCACCAATGAAAAGTGTTATGACTTTCCAGTCATTTTGGTAGTCGACACCTTGTTCAGACTTCAATCTGTCTACCAGCATTCTGGCTTGGTTTGGCATATCGCTGAAGATAAACATTTAAAATTGATAGAGATGTAAGATATAGAAATTTTCCTGTATATACAGAGAAAAAAAGGTCATTAAATGATGCCATCATCGTTTTTATTGATCATTTTTTTCACCGCTCTTTTTCACATTTTTTTAGGTATAATGAAACACTTTAATATTGCAATATCTAAATTGATATATAATTGATAATAAATAAAATCTCATTTGTTGAAGCACACATATATAAAACTTTGTTTAATTTTAGCATCCCATCAGACTATGTAAATATCCTTGTAAATATTTGTAAAGTGTCAAACCTCAATCCCAAGTGGGAGTGCTCCGATATAAAACAGAGAATCATACCTGTACAGAACAGAATTGACTGAAAAAATGCATGATTTAATGAAGTTTTTTTTCTTTAAGGAAAAAAATTTATAACAAACCTCGCCTTTTCCCCAGGTATGGCAACATTCAGATGTGCATTTGGAAACCAGTACGGACCCCAACCTGTAGCATATCCTTTAAGATCTGGGTTATATCTCTTTATCATATCTAAAAACAAAGAATTAAAATAACGACATTAGTGTGTATAAATGCACATACTAGTAACATTTACCAAATCAATATTATGCATAGATTTATACATTTTATACGTCCGTCATAAAGTATCCTTTTTCATTATGAAAATTACAAAGTTTAAGATAAAACAATCCCACAGAGTAAAGGATTGTATATACAGTATGCGGTACACTTAACTTTGAAACAAACGAAAAAAATCAAAACACCACTTACACCCGGATTTTACGAGAACGTATGCATTTTAAGATATGAAAATTGACTTTTTGTCTATTATTATACATAACTTTATTGGTAAAAAGTGGTAGATCGGAAAAGTAAATATACGACTATATATTATACAGAACTTATGATATCAAACATCAAAATTTGCTATTTGGGAGAAAGAAAAACACATAGTTTGTATGCTTACTTGGTAGAGTGATGTATTCCTCAACATTACCATCTCCACCTCCACTGAAACATCAAAGTTTGAAGGTAATATTTGTGTAAAACTGAATGCAGATTTTGTCAGTTTCTTAGCGATATACAAGCATATAAGGTAGTACAATTTTAATTTTCCCTCAAAACTTTGGTAAAGAAATATTCTGTGTTCAAGTCTTAAATCGACAGTCAAAATGTATTAAAGAAAAATTGCCTTTATATAACAATATGATAAATAGCTAATAGTGTTAATTTGATTTCAATAGATTTACTAAAAAATCCATGTATCGATGAAAACTATAACCAACATCCCATATACCTAATATTCATATATCTACCAACGTTATTATGTGTTTATACGTCCCTGACTTTCAAATGTTTGGCTTTGAGCGTTCCCGATAAAACAAATCCAGAAAAACGCTTCGGACGCGCGAATTTTATAAATTGTTATATTCTTCTTTTTTCACTTCAAATATCCATGCAATTCATTTCGAATACACTTAACCCTGACTATAAAACAAACCATCACACAATCCAAACTCATATCCATTTAAAGTAAAGATATTTTACATCATTCATAAACGAATTTAAGATGGAACTTAAATACATATCCTTCGTAAACCTATATTAGATTCAAGTTTTCTCAAGTCTACCAAATTTGGATAACGAATAAAATAATAATGTCTCCATTGGAAATAAACCATACCTCCACGAAAGTCCTCTGTCTTCTCTTAAAACTCCAATTATAGTCCCTGCCGTAATGCCTGTTCCTGCCTGTAGTGTAAATTTAATATTATCGTTTAGCTTTTTTTTAGTTTATTGTTATACACCGACCCTACCCCCACCCCTAATCTAGCTTACAATAGCGGAACGTGTATAGTAGTTGGTATGTCTATCCGTTCGTAATTAAATCTTCAGTACACATCTAATAAAAAAAATCAGAAAAAAAAATCATTTTTGTCTGAAACAACGTTTGATTTGCACATATATAGACACTTACCGTTATAGAGTCTCCAAAAGCACCAATGGCCTTAATATCATAGGGTGTCAGCTCGTGAACTAAAAAAGAAACCAGATACACCTCGTATCTTATATCATACTTTTTTAATTGTTTACAATTAGGTTCTTATAGTTTGAAATGTACGAGCCTTTATAAATAACTAGTTTAACGTTAACTATGGCTACATAGATTTGGAACTAAAAACTAAAAGGTGATAAAGCCAAGCAGTTTGGTCCACTGAAAACAGCCCCTCCTCCTCTTGATATAACAAAATTTAATGGATATACCATAGTTTTATCTATACAGTGATTTATGTTGTATCTGGATTGCAGATTAAGTATTCGGAAAAGAATAAGAAACGTTGCAAGGAACTTTAAAGAGGACTATCCAATTGGTAGATTGTGGTGGTTTAATTCCAAGATGTTAGGACAGCGATAAGCTCTTTAATTAAAAACATAAAGAACAGTACGATGCAAGACAAACATTTAGGGTTATACAGTATAATTCTTTCTCGTGCAGACAAATTGTTTTGCTTCATGTCAACTCTATTTTGATTTTTACCAAACTTTTTTTTATTGATCAAACACGTTTGTATCCGCTTCTCCTAAACCCCTAATCATAAATCAAAGAAACTTTCTTGGAATCTTGCCCATATGTTTTGATTGTCCAACTTCTATTTTGTTTTGGTCCGAATATTGTTTGGCGTTTCCTTTAACGAATCATAGACCTTAAACGGGGCTGTTGTCAGTGTTTGCTCGCACTTTAAAAGTTAGTAGAAATGATTTGCTAAAAAGAGAACCATTTACACGTTTCTTCTTTTACGACTATTTAGACTCTTTGGGCAGATTTCATAGAAGCATGTTTTGAACCACAGAAATTATTACCAACGAATCTTCAACAATATTCTTAATTCATACTTTTTTACTGATACCATCTTGTCGATTCTTTAGACCAGAATATCTTGGCTATTCTCAAAAAGTTAATTATCGGACAACAATGTGATATTTTGTTATTTAATGATATGAACATGCATAACTACATAAAAATTTCCGTCTATAATATCATTATATAAAATAAGTAGATGTGGAATGACTGTCAATGAAGCAACATCCAATAGAGTCCAAATGACGTGGATTTAAGCAACTATATGTCATCATACGGCCTTCTATAATAAGCAAAACCAAAACCGTGTAGACAGCTATATAAGGCCCCGACATGACAAAATGTAAAACAATTCGGAAAAACCTGATGTATGACAAAACCATAAACAAAAAACGAATGCAACAGACATCAATCAACGACAACAGGCATCAACCAACGGAAACAGACATCAACCAACGACAACAGGATGGTTACTTTTTAAACCTTTTTAGATAATTATGCTAAAATGTTGGTTGTAACTAACTAAGCCAAAGTGTTTTACTTCTGAGATTTTCTTTTAACATCGACAGTTTTTTTTATTTCCTTTTAAGAAGTGTCGCTTTGGTACTCTGATAATCTCAAATGACATACGACAGACTGCAAAACCACCAAACACGGAAGCAACAACTTGCAATGAAGTCAGGGTTATATTTGTTACCATGCAGAATCTAACTTATATCTAAAACATTTATCAATATCTCTGGAATGCAATCTGATTTCGATACAGTTTATATTATTTTTATATTAATTGACCTTATTACATGATCTACAAATGTCTGATATAGTAATAATTCATGTTATCGAATTTGATTACAATTAAATATGTGATAAGAGTGTACATCTGATAATATTTCTGTATTTAGCGGTTTGTTAAAAATAAACAGATTTTAGTGATAATTTTTTGTCGACATCACTGGAAGAATTTGTAGTTTTAATATCTATGGATCTAATTCTTCCAAAGAATTTATTGCGTAAACTTGATTACTTTTTATACATTGTACTTCGTCTGGTTATGTGAACGACTAACCGGATAAATTTTGTTTTGACCATGACCTGATCAAGGATTTGACTTTTTATCATTTGGAGTCTATCCAAGGTCATCCTAAATTGAAAATGAAAAAAAAACTATATAAAAGACGAAGCAATTAAGTTCTGTGGATATAGTGCTAAAGGCAAAACAACCGAAAACATTTAGAAAAGGAAAATATACAGTGATTTAACAATTTATAAACCTTTTTCCAGAAAAAATCTAGATCTGGGGATATGGATCATATAGTAAAGGGCCCCCTTTTTCCAAAATCATGGATCCGCATCCGGTTATGATGTTTTGATATCATTTATATACATGGGACATACTAATTTAGTATTTATGTATCTCTATTGTTTTCTAACATAGAAACTTTATTTTTGTCTATTTCGATTTTTGCTCTCTTACATCTTATTCGTGGCTTCTTTTGGTTTCTGTAATGGTTGGACCTACATGTACTAATTCAAGATTTTTCTTACATACTACCTTTATTTTTGTCTATTTAATTGTTTTATCTGTTACATACCATTCGTGGCTTCTTTTGGTTTCTGGAATGGTTGGCATGGAAATTCAAGTTTCTTAAAAAAAAAACATATATTTAAAGATACATTCTCGAAAAGTTATATACGCCAATAAAGTTAAAAGGGTTTTTATATATTTTCTGCTAAACATGTTTTTGATTGATTCGTAAGTAGTCATTTTTAGTTTGCCTGTTTTTTCGATGAGTTCACGTTTTTTCTTCTGTCACTACTTTGTTCAAAAACAAGTATGGACACAGATCAATGTTGATAGTAATTGGGATTTTTTACTAATGAGATCGCCGCTTCAAACATTTTACGTACGAGTTCTTCTTTGCATACGGATGTATGTGAACTATCATAGTTGTTAAATTCTACGTAATTTGGTCTCTGGTGGAGAGTTGTCTCATTGGCAATCATACCACTTCTTATTTTCATATACGTATTTTATTTCAAGTCAAAAGAATATAGGTGTGATAATGTTTTAAATGCTGCAAACATTGAGTTAAAATTGAAAATTTATTATTATTTTCTTAGAAATGTACATGTTCAAAGCATTTTATCTTGTCCTTGGAATAACGTCATTTAGCGCAATGGTATGGATAGCGGATCATTCCAAATTATTGTATTTAAGGAGATTCTGAAATATTTCAGGACCTCCATAATTCGAATACAGGATATTCATGAATAATTGAGGACCTCCTGAAATATTTCAGGACCTCTATTATTTGGTTTCAGGATATCCTTAAATATTTCAGGACCTCCATAATTCGAATTCAGGATATTCATTAATAATTGAGGACCTCCTGAAATATTTCAGGACCTCTATAATTCGATTTCAGCATATCCTGAAATATTTCAAGACCTGTACAAATAATCGGTCAAAATTGCTTTATTTCAGGAGGTCCTTAAATATTTCAGGTAATCCAAAAAATCCATTTTGATGGACTTCGATAACTATACATTTCAGGACCTCCACAATACAATTTCAGGATAGCCTTGAATATTAGATTAAGTTCACAATTATTTCAGGACCTCCATAATTCGATTTCAGGATATCCTCAAATCGAATTATTGAGGTTCTGGAATATTTCAGGCGCTGCTTAAATACAATAATTTTGACTAATGATCCGCGTCTCATAATGTGGTGTACATAGTTCATTTGGAAGTGGGGTTTTCTTCAAACTGGAACCTGCATAACAACCATCTTTTATAAAATTTTATTTAATAAGAATAAAACAAGAATACGATAGCACCATAAATGTATATTTTTGTACCGGAATATAAGAATCGCAAATCATTTGAAGCTGCGATCGATGAGTAACCCGGAGTTTAAAAAAAACTCATGAAATAGCTACAGTTTATTTCATAAAATACTCATTGGAACTATGGTCGTCGAACTGGCTTTTTAAAATTAACTCATAGGTATATGTTCGACTAGTTATGTGCATTTTATTTTTATTTATATGTTGTTAAATCAAACATTTTTTTAATAAACTACGCTTTTTGTAACCCGAGACATAATATGTTATTATTCCCAGTTGCAACGAATCATTAAGTATAGTGTCTATAGTTATGCTATTCTCATTGTGAACAGCGAACTTGATAATTTACGGAATCTATAGAACTTGATGTCAAATTTAAGAAAAACTATCATTATTTTGTTATTTCAATGGGGTTGACAATTAATATAAATAAGTGTATACTGTAGTTCAGACGTGAAACTATTGGTATTTTTTTCTGAATTTCGTGAAATATTGACTATAGAAATCGATCATTCTAATAATGATAATTTATAATGACGAATATTACAATGTTCTTTTGCCGTTGTATTTGTCCTGTACTTATTTCAGGTTTCGAAGTTGATTAATACATAGTTGAAAATTCTGAATAAAAAAATTGTTAGAAATCAAAGAATTTAACTTTAAAAGTAAAAATAAACAGGTAGTTTGAAAATATCATATAAAGACTGGCAATGACTTGTTATTATTTTGAATAACAGGAAGTGTCGAATATACGTCAATATGACATCAAACCAACGCAACAAATAACCCAAAAATATGAAGTCAGAAGTCATTTTCAAGGAAAGAGTACATTGCAATTGGCTTTAACTTCCAACTTGTACTAAAATATCAGATTCTAAAAATCCTTTCCTTTATAAGAATAGTGCCAAGTGTTGTGAATACGACAAGGGGTCTGTATTTGCACTTATTTGTGATAGTTGTACTAAATTCGACTAAAAGGAGGTCTTGGGTCTATGTTTTTAATACAGCAACACAACAATAACATAAAAGAGTTTAAAGAATTAAAAACTTACTACTTTTGACTTCAATTGTGCTTCCTTGAATCGTTGAACATGTTGATCAAATAGTTTTACGAACGTTGCGTTTTTTGACTGTTGTTCTATGAACTGTTTATAGTCGTCATATCTGAAAGCTTTAAAAAATATTTATATTTAGGATTTTAAATAAATTTTATTATTAAATAATAAAGATTCCCTAAAGATTTACTAAATATCACAAATTTTCATCTTTTTGTTTTGTTTTTTTTAATATTGCTTTAATTTTTAAGTTTGTATTTGGAACTTCACAATATAATTTCATCAAAAACATTAATTTCCATTAAAATTTCATCAGTTTCATCATACATATCAACATAAAAATAATGGGAGAAATTTACTTACCGAATGTGTGAGCTACAACCAAAGTGCTGCAGAGGATGGAGAAAAACTTCATCCCAGTGAAGGATCTCTTTGGTCGAATGGACGGTGTAGTTAAAATGTGTGTATGTTTACTTATGCTCAGGTCAATTGATATGAATCTTTACACAACGTGTCACAAGTTAACAATTGTGTCAATATCAAACAATCTGTTATTATCATTACGCATGTGAAAGTTTATTTTATCAGTCCTACTGATACCAAATATTTTGAACTGATAGAGGATACTACAATCTCTAATATGCCCAATTTTATACAATTGGATGTGCATCTCGAAACATCTTTTTCTGGTCCGCTCAGAGTTTGAAGTGCTAATTACGCACAGTTCACGCCAAGCGATGACAAACCTGATATGATATGTAAGGTTTACATGTGCATTATTATAAAGAATTCTGATGACACTAATTATCCTGTCTTTATGTCAACGATTTTGTATTAAAGATATCTGGATTGTTTTGAATATGTTTTAATCTGTGTACAGATAGATATAGTTTTAAATAATAATAATTATGTTCAAGTGTGGCTGTTTCAGGTATAGACAGAGTAGAATCTTGTCTCATACGGACATAAAACCATCAGAATTTTTCAATCAGATTGACATAAAACAGAAAGGAAGCAGAAAAATAAGATATAGAAAAAATTCCTAAATACTCATATCATTCACGAACATGTTTAATCTTTTAAAGTTATCTTTATCTTTTACAGTTTCATTAAAAATGTTTTATTCGTGTGTCGTTCCTAGCTGTTTATAATGTTGTAACCACTCTCCTTTGATTTGTTCCTTGATTAAATTTCCCGCCACTTTGTTACTCAACGTCAACTGACAAATATTTAACGAAACTGCATAATTTTGTGCAAAATCTTTAATGTTGATGAACAAGAAAAGGGACGTATGATTTTCCAACAATTTTAAAATGTACTTTTCTATACAATAATAAATTTAGTATAATTTATAAAAAGTCAAAGAGTTATTTCTCTGGGTTTTCAAATATTAACAAAGAAGGAGTGTGACTTTCAAAACATGTCTCTCGGATTTTAATTTCTAATCATGTATTCAGTGACCATAACGATTTATATATTCAAATCAAGGATTTGTATAGTTACTATACAAATCCTGGTTCAAATATAGCAATAGAAAGCAAAAACAAGAGGGCACACGCTGAAATGTCTCGCCTTCTTTACTAACCATTGATTTTATGTTGATAGTCCTAAATATAAAGCTTAACTACAAGTAACACATCAACTTAACATGATCCAAGAAAATGAGGTCAAGGTCAGATAAACCAAACGAGAAATACATGTACACCTTACAATCATTCAATAAACCAAATATAGTTGACCTATTGCTTATAGTTTATAAGAAACAGTCTTAGCCAAGAAAACTTAACATTGACCAATGAACCATGAAAATGAGTTCAAGGTCAGATGCACCATGCCAGACAGACATGTACACCTTACAATCAATTTATGCATTAAATATAGTTGACCTATTGCTTATAGTATCTAAGAAACAAACTTAACCATGAAAACTTAACATTGACCAATGAACCATGAAAATGAGGTCAAGGTCAGATGATACCTGCCAGACAGACACATCCACCTTACAATCCTTCCATACAACAAATATAGTTGATCTATTGCTTATAGTTGAAGAAAAACAGACCAAAACACAAAAACTTAACACTGAGAAAAGTAACCTTGAAAATGAGGTCAAGGTCAAATAAAACCTGCGAGACTGACTTATACATCATAAAATATTTCCATACACCAAATATAGTTGACCTATTGCATATAGTATTAGAAAAAAAGACCAAAACTCAAAAACTTAACTTTGACCACTGAACCATGAAAATGAGGTCAAGGTCAGATGACACCTACCAGTTGGACATGTACACCTTACAATCATTCCATATACCAAATATAGTAGACCTACTGCTTATAGTATCTGATATATGGACTTGACCACGAAAACTTAACCTTGTTCACTGATCCATGAAATGAGGTCGAGGTCAAATGAAAATTGTCTGACGGGCATGAGGACCTTGCAAGGTACGCACATATTAAATATAGTTATCCTATTACCCATAATAAGAAAGAAATTAACATTACAAAAAATGTTGACTTTTTTTCAAGTAGTCACTGAACCATGAAAATGAGGTCAAGGAAAATGGACATATGACAGACGGAAACTTCGTAACATAAGGCATCTATATACAAAGTATGAAGCATCCAAGTCTTCTAGCTTCTAAAATATAAAGCTTTTAAGACGTTAGCTAACGCCGCCGCCGCCGGATCACTATCCCTATGTCGAGCTTTCTGCGACAAAAGTCGGAGGCTCGACAAAAACCATCTGTTTTAGAGTTGTATCAGTGTCGTTTTCGCTTTTTGTGTCACAGTTTGGACACATACCAATTGGAAGAATCGGTATTAATAAGAATATAAGTAGTTTTAAATATAATTTAGAATTATGAAATTATTGTACTGACAGGACAGAAATGAAGATTTTGATTTTAAAACAGTTAATTCAAGATATTTTATAGACCAATAAAATCCCTTTCTAAAACTTTTGAAAACATATAGGAGTTTGAAATACATGTAAAATGTAAATTCAAAAGTGTTTTATAAGACGCCTTTTAACTGTTTTTGTAATCTCTGTATCATTGAAGAGAACAGCAGATGACAAAAATATTTTTGTATATTACTTCCCTTTAAAATTCACTCTTTTATTTATTGACCAATCAAATATTTCGTTACAAGTAACTAAGGCGGGTGTTGCTATCGACAAAAGCAGGTGCCCAGACTCGAATATTTACTTTACCGGAACGAAAAAAGAGCCTACGTAAGTGATGGAGAATAGAATATTGATAAAATATATCCCCAGCTTGCAGTTCACTTAGAATAAGCTGTCTCAACTATTTTATTTTGTTATAAAATGCATTATATTGCAGTAGCGTTGTCAGAATGCTGACATTATCTATTTAATTAGGAAACAAAATATATAATAAAAAAAACATGACACACATACTTTGACATTTATGAACTGCAAACATACGAAAACACTGCCAGTGTATAAACAGTGACCTTAATAATATAAGTTACACAGTGTGCTACTGTCCTAATAAGTTATATATCCTCGTCTCATGGGTTTTTGTGCTATTAAGAATGCATTGTGAGTCACAATTTCCATTGAAAAAGCATGCATAGTATGAATTCATATGACGTACGAAATCATATGATCTGACAATATGGGTCAGTAAATTCTTGCGGAAGGTTTCTTCCAATACAAAGTCAAAGGTATACACAGACGTGCTGCTGGTATGGGTCACTGTTGTGGAATGTCAATTATGTCAATGGAATGCAATTTCATGGTGGTAATATATCAATGGGTAGGAATTTATATCTCAATGGGTCATAAATGTTCCTCTTCTGTTAAGATGTCTGTAAAAACCAGGGATGATTCCAGGTGTTTTCAAATGGGTCCTTTGAACATCAAATTGGGAATTTTTTATGCATAAAATCTAAGACGAAATAATATTTATTTCCTGTAAAAACGGAAAATGTATATTAAGATTCACCTGTACACTGATGTAAGTTGTAACATTTTGAATAATTCTGGATGGGCTACTGATTATGATATATATATGATTACCAAATCGCTTGACAGTTATTGGATTGAGACCAGGGAAGTGTTACATGATGCACTATCATCTTAGCTATAGTAACCTAGGCCTATTACAAAAACATGTATATCAGCTAACATAAACCACTGAAAAAATCATCAATTGTTTTTTTTTTCAACAACAGGTCATCTTTATAAATTTACCTAGATTCAAATGGATTTCAAATTGAACTTGCCAATTGTCAAATTCAGAAAAGCAATAACAAAAGTTTACATACTTAATTGATAAGATATTCAAAGCATTGAACCAGAGTACTTAAAAATTATTTGGATCATCTTCATAACTTTTGAAACAGTTCCATAATGATGACATCGTACATTGTATTTCATGAATGGTCTATCATCAACATTATTTTCAAAAAACGCTCAAACTTTTGTCTTTTGAGGAAATAGAGCAAAATATAAAATGATTTCTTTTAGAAAACAAGTTTTCATCATATTGTTTAACCGGCTCTGCTGGCGATCTGCTTTTACAATATTGGCGCCCATTAAAATTTATTCATCAATGTTATATCAAAATTTGAATTTGCTTTCGCCGAGGTCAGCTTTGACATCCATTTTCTCAAAAAGCATCTTTTTTATCAACCTGCCGGGCGATCTGCTTTTACAAGATCAAATACTCCCATAACATTTTAATCAATTGAATCTGGCTGCTAAAATTGTTTAGGAAGTACACCACTAACTCATGGCTCCATTGCTTTCTATGTTAAATTCCTCAATTTCAAGCAGACACAGCTCTTTCATTTTAAGTTCAAATAAAGTGACATTCATTGCATGTCAAAGCTACACTTTATGGTGTCTGTAACTGAAAAAATCAACATACCTTTAATGGAATATAAGAAAGAACTGGTTCCCGGAACTTCGGATATACCAAAACAGGTACTTCAGATCTTACAAACAGGCAAAATGTACCCTCTTTTGGTGCAGTTTTTTAAATATCCCAAATTATAAGTCAAAAAGTGTTCTACAATGATCACCAGTCATTCAGATTTCATTTGATACCAAAAATACATAAATATTCTACATATTTAGAAAGTTACACTCATGCGTAGGAACTATTTTGTGTTAAATATGTATTACTTTCTGGTATGTGCTTTCTGGCCGGGCCCGAATTAGTGGTGTTACATCTTTACCACATGTTGACATAATTAAATCGTTGTTAATATAATGCGATCAGAGACAGCATTCTTATCTGGATTTTAAAGCGTATTGATAAAACTATGAAAATTATAGTTGCCGAAATCGGTGACGGAAACTTTTCCAGAAATATCGATTTTTATTTTATTTTTCTGAATTGGGAATTTATTTTCAATTACATTATTTTGGGGCCGCTGGCCGATATAAGGGCCGCTAAGCGGCCCTAATCTATATAGTGGAATCATCCCTGAAAAACTGAACTTTTTATCTGATGATATGTATTATCCCATGTGTTTAACGTCTAAATAAGATGTCATGATAGCTAGGAACTATATATAAACAGGTTGTGATTTTCCTATGAAATATATGAATGGGTAGTGATTTTTGCATAAATAAATATATGAATGGGGGTGTTTTTTAAACCCAAGCCGGACATCTGTACCCAAATTTGTATGTTGAGACATCCCCAGGGTAAATTCCATATGGGGCAAAAACTATTTTGTATAAAGCATTATATTTCAGAATGTAGATGACCTGGATGCTTCATACTTTGTATGCAGATACCTTATAATATGAAGTTTCCATCTGTAATATGTATATGTCCTTTGTCCTTGACATCATTTTCATGGTTCAGCAACTGCGGAAAACAAATTATAGTGTTTTTGTCATGAATTTTTCACTTATTTTTATACAGTCTTCCAGATAAAGTTTTGAATCTACAGGCCTGAAGCTGAATTTTACTAAAATTTTAGTCAGATTCTATTGGCCAGTAGATAAGATTTTCACAGGCCCATCAGCACTTTTACAAGCCCCAGGGCTTGTGGGCCTGTGGTTGAGCGTGAAGACTGCTAATAGCTAGTAAAAGGATAACTATATTTGGTACATGGGTTCTTTGCAACATCTACATGTCAGTCAGACAAGGAAATTTATGGAGCAATTTTACCAGAAAAAGTTCTGTGTGCCGCGAAACATGTTGCAATAAAAATTATTCATGCCTTCATTTTGTTGTTAAAAATATTGAAAAGATATAGTTAGTTTCATTGATGGATAACAATATTTTCATTAAATGTTAGAGGCGAACAGAGGAAAATATTTTTTATTTAAAACTTTTAATCACACAACAGTTATTTATTATTGTATAGGATATTCATGAAGTAAAGATGGTTGTTGTATTAAATTCATCTGAGATATTTTTGATAGAATCAAGTAATATATTGATCGAATATTACAGTATTGTAAATAAACCCTCATCCTGCAGCTTTACAATTAAAACATTAAAATCTGTGATAATACAATACACTAACAAATTTTGACTGTACCTTTCAATCATAGCACATTAATTTTATTTAACAATGGCAGTGCATCATCACAAAACAGGTCAGGGAGATCCCTGCATTTCACATGACTTCGTTTTCATTTCATGGATCAGTAATCAAGGTTGAAGTTCAATGATAATGTCTGTTTCTCACATTCTATAAGCAGCTGGTCAACTACATCTGGTATTTGGAATGATTGTTAAGGGTACATGTCACTCTGGAAGGTTTCATTTGAAATTGAACTCATTTTCAGGGTTCATTGGTCAATATTTAGTTTTTGTAGTTTGGTCTTCTTAACCAGTCAGGGATACTACTTATACAAGTGATTTCATTATCACCTATTTCAGGGATTTGATAAATTCAGTTATCACATATTTAAGTGATTTTGGTGTTTCCTTTGATCTTCAAATGCTAATTTCATTAATTTTCCATATTTTGACAAAGTTTTCTTTGATTTCTACATAGATCAATTATCCTTTTCTCTTGTATATTAATTTCACCAGTGAGCTTGGACAGTAAGTTAGTGTGCAAAAGCTTTTGAAAGTACCCTTGGAATTTTTCTGTAATCAAATATTCATTAACTGTTCTTACAATCAGACAAAGGTCAACAATTTTAAGTAACCTGATTGGTCTTCTTTAGAGTTAAAATGATCTACTTCAAGGTTATGTCCTGATCTACAAATTATTCCAGTTTATGCATATTTTAGATAAACTGTAAAAACTGACAGGCTCATCAAGCAAAGATAATTTCTGCATGTATGTAGTTTTTTTTTAAATGGAATCCTTGTCTTTTAACCAATAAAAAAGAATGAAGTTTGTAGGAAAAATATCAAGAAAATGTTATAAACACTTATTGAAGTGATTTCATTTTTACTTCTCAAATTACATGTTTCAGTGATTTTAAAAAGTCTGAATATATTTTTGTGAAAATTTTCAATTTTTCAAAGCCAAAATCACTTAAAGATGTGATTCTGAAATCACTTGTATAAGTACATGTAGTACCCCTGACTGTTAACTACTAGTATATTTAGTTCTCAGACATTGTAAGTAATAGGTCAACTATATTTGATGTAAGGAATGATTGTAAGGATTACATGTCTGTCTGGCATGATTCATCTGACCTTGATCTCATTTTCATGGCTCATTGGTCAATTTTAGTTTTCCTGGTTAAATTTGTTTTTATATAAAGTAAAAGGAATATGTCAACCATATTTGGTGCATGGAATGATTGTAAGGTGTACATGTCTGTCTGACATGTTTCATTTGACCTTGACCTCATTTTCATTGTTCATTATGGTTTCAATGTTAGGTTTTCTGGTTAAGTCTGTTTCTTAGATACTATAAGCAATAGGTTAACTATATTTGGTGCAAGGAATGATTGTCAGGTGCACATGTCTGTCTGTCAGGGTTTATCTGATCTCTACCTTATTGTCATTGATCTTTGATTATGTTAAGAATATGTTAAACATTATTATTAAATCAGTCATGGTCAGTAAAGCAGGTGAGACATTAGCATGTGGACTCTTGTTATCCATAACATTGTTTTAGCTTTCACTTACTCGGAAGAAAGCATAGATATAGTGGTAATCTATGGGATGAGGATCAACTCCTGGAATAGGGGGCATTAAGTATGATATTTTTTTCTTTAGATAGACGTTTAAGATGACTGCAGGGTCTATAATTGTCCCTGCTATTATCCCTTTGCGACCACCTATACCAGGGAAATCCAAGCTATCAATTGATACTAATACTAAAATTGAACTTAGCACAGGTATAGTATATTTAATAATACTATTATATCACTCAGGGTTTGAAACAATGTCTTTCTGCTAACCTTACATCAGTAAATGTTTTAGGTAGACAAACAGAACTTTATTGTGAACTGACTCTGTCTATTTGTTTATATATATTAGTGAGACCGTTAAACATCAGGATTTTTTAGTAGTCCTTTAGATTTGAGATAGCACTTTTTTCCTGAAATTATTGAAACACATTGATAATGGATTCTATTGTAAGATCTATTCAGACTGTAAATTGTACCATGGTGCTTGAAGGCCCTGGGGAGAACACTGTACCAAGATACAATTTGTATTGTTTCAATATTTAGGCCAAAAGTACCATATGTGTTATAAACACTATAATCATAGCAAGCACAAAAACTTTCCTCATAAAATTTATGTCTGTTGTTTAATAACACTCCTGAAGTTAACATGATGTTCTTTCAGATCAAAAGGATGTTGAGATATTCTACACAATCAATGGAAAGAAACCGGACCCATTTCCTAAAGTTGGATCAGAGAGATATACAATGCAGTACTTTGCTCCTTTTACGTTACCTGCAGGAAAACAAACGGTTAAGGCGATGGCAGTGTCTAAGTATGTTTCTTTTATTGATTTGGCCTTTAAAAACACCTTTTGTTTAGGGTATCTCAATTCACCCTATATTTTCAGCACTGACTTTAAAAGCTTGGCAAGCGCCTAACCTGGCAGTCAAGTTTATAAAATATTCTAACAAAAACTAACAAAATTTCATTTTCTAAAATATAGGTGTCATTTATCAATCAATAGCACAAGGGTGATGTAAAATCTATATATAAAAGTGGGAACTATTTAAAATACCTTTAAAATAATGATCTCTAATTTTGCTAAAGTTTGAAAATATAACAAAATCTGATCAACCATGATAAGATGATATGATATCCTTTTTGAAATTCATGCATAACTATTAATGAAATATGAGAATCCAAGATCACTACTGGAATTTTTAGTCCTTTTGAAACAGCTTTTATGTGACCTTTTCTTTTATGAACTCTACAAATAGAATTTTTATGATCAAAGATTGTGACACTGAAGACCTATGCAGCTCCTTCTGCACAGTGTTTGCTGGGGATTAATAGAATTGCAAATATATATGCTTCTATATCCATGCTACACAATTCATATCCTTGTTATATCACAATGAACCAATGAAAACATTATATCAAATGAATTATGATATTATAAAGATAAAAAAATGATGAAAAAAAAGGAACTTGAACTAAAAATATTCATTTGTGAATAAAGTTATTTTATGTTCTGTGAATGATAATGTGGAATACAAATATTGGTTAGTTCCAATTCATGTGTTTTAACTTACTTTGCAACAAGATTATTCCTTTGGAGTTGGTCAGCCTGTTGAAGATATCGTAACCCAAACCTTTCATATTTTTCAGAGATGGTATGAGAGAAAGTAATATAGGAACAAAGATATTTGAAGTAGGATTCGTACCCAGTAGAGAAGTAGCTCCTGTAGATGATGATTTAGGATTCCAGGAAGAATTAGACCATCAAAATACTACAGTTAGTATTTCATTTATATTCAACTGTCTAGGGTATCCATGGTAGCCTCCTTGCCTGGAGAAACGCACAGCAGTTAGGAGTAAAAGCATTGATTGGTTGATTGAGGTCAGAATAATGTGTCTGAGTATTGTGAAATATCTTTCTGTGGACTGTAAGCAAGGATGTTAGAATACTAACACAAGTTGGTCTAGTACAATGGCAGGGTATATGCATAACTCATTAACATGTTATCTTCCTGAATATGCATGTAATGTTTGCCACTGGGGCTTAGCTTAAACAGGTGTTACTGTAAAATAAGAATGATAAAAAGGTATACTTATTTTTATTGCTTTTGTAGTAAATTACATTAATAATACTTAAACAGATAAATTTATAATACTTGTATTTTTTTTTCTTCAGCTGAATGTGAAGAGAGCAACAAAGAACTTATTGCTATCAGAGAAAACTGCATGGACTGATATGGGTACTATGAAACAAACAATACAGAAAATGGCAGGTTGGTAACAATTGTATAGAACATTTGATATATTTGAATATATGTATTTATTACATGTAAAACAGGATCCCTTATGAGTTCCGAAAAACAATTATATTACACTGGAGTCCGTTGATTTCAACATATGTTACCAATCTGATCTTCATTTTTATTTACAGAGGATATGTGCTCATATGAACTATGGGTATTTAGAAATAACTCTTATTGTATTAAGACAAGGCGAAGGATTTCAAACAAAACTTGAAAAGATATGGATATATGCTTGTTCAGAATTTTACTTTCAAGTTAGTCAAAAAATGTAACCAGTATGGCCAGGCTCTTTGTATAGATTTTTTTTTTCAGAGTCAATTAGGATTGTTTTGAATTTCAACTATATTCATCTTCTTTTTAAACAGATATGAATGTATCAGGAAGTAACTACAGAAAACCAACAACAGGAACCAGATTCTTAAACAACAGGAAATCAGTTCATGATAAAAATGAGGTACATATAAGTTGATCTTTGCATATTTGTATACCTCATCCTCCACGAGGTTGGTTTGTTCGGGACCATATGAGTATTTGGACCATACACGTATGGTTCGGGTGTTTAAAAGATGGATGTTGCCATAAGTACGAACCTTAAAGGTATCATTAATTAAGAGTTTTAATTGTGACTTATTACATCAAATGGCAACCATTGGTACATGATTAATGAAATAAAGTTTATTTTACTATAATTAAAATTATTTTTACATGTATTGTCGAATTGTCCTTACAAAACACATGTGTCGATTTTGACTTTGGAATATGACTTCAAGGAATATTTAAATGTGCCGTTTAACAAGAAGTCAACTGTTTAAATCACAGGTACTTGGGGCATTGCACCCTCACCTTTTTTCCCCTTATTTTGATATTTTAATTTGATTTTAGTAAATATTTTTTTAATATCTTAAATTATTTTTAGTTATTTGATGATCTTTAATGTGTTCATGCTCCTATCTATACAATCACAGTAGTTTAAATGTGCTGTCCCTATATGTTTTTATGTATGAACTACTGTTATTGTAAGATCATATGAATAGAAACAAAAACACATCAATTAAGTAAAATTTAGAAGAATTTAAAAAATTGAATTATCTAAATACTGGAGAAAGAAGAAAAAAGTCCATTTAGAATATATTCGAAAAATAACTATATGGTCTAAATACTCATATGGTCCAGCTTGTTATTATCTAAAGGAGTATATACTCATATGGTCAAAATACTCATATGGTCTGGAACAGGTATATTGTTATACACCTGTATATTATGTTCCATAACATTTTGTATAATAGATTTGGTCAATGGGTACTATATTTATTTTTCAGAAACCAATTATGTCCAGGCCTGGGGTAATGGTAATTTGTAATTGAAATGCATTGTAATATTACATTTTTTTTATGTAATGCAAAGTAATTTGTAATGCACATTTTCTGCATTACAATTACATGTAATGTAATGATTACTTTCGTTAAAAATCAATGTAATGCCTCCATTACTGTACATTACTTTTCATTACAAATTGGTAAAATACATAAAATTTACATAATTTATGTCTGTCACATAATTGGTTTCTGAAAAATAAATATAGTACCCATTGACCAAATCTATTAAACATAATGTTATGGAACATAATATACAGGTAAAGCTTGATTTTTCCATTCAAGAATCATGTTGTGGGTACAGGTATCTGTAATCCTTAGATCACCTAATTCTAGTTTATCTTTGTGAATGTTTTTGAGAAAAATCATCACAATTTGAGCAGAATACTACATGAAGGACATTGAACACCCAACAATCAATCAATCATTTGTTTAAAGAAAATTAGATTGAGTTAGGGTTCTGAAGATAAAAGTTATGGTAATAAAGATGTGAATATATAGTTGAAAATTTTATCATATTTTGAAGTTGTTACATTCAAAATATTTTACCTATGTTAAACTGTAATTAAAATTGATAGAAATTGTTTTGTATAAAAATACAAGCTTTTGAATACATTATTAAGAGGGAATTTTGTGTTTTCATGTGAAAAAGCTCGTGTGTCATTTACATAGTTGTCATTGTGACAATTTCTGTGTAAAACTGGTAACACTCTATATTGGGATCAGTTGAAATAAAATTTACTTTCATTTTTAGTCTAAAAAGGATTAAACTTATGTTGAAAAAAGTATAAATGAATTAAAGAAGTTGTTAACCCTTTGCATAGCTTTGTAAATTCATGCTATTTATATTTCAGTACAACAGATCACATGATGATACATATGGAGGACGTAGTTCAAGAAGACATGACAGAGATATACCCGATGCTCAAACTCAAGCCATGAGATTAACCAGGGAAGCTGAACTTCTCAAGTATGTAGTGATTTTTGTAGCCTAGATCTACTTTAAAATTACTCTAAATTTAGAAATTTTTGGGATGTTTTTATTAATAAGAAAATTGTGACTGTATAGGTTTCACGAAAATAAAAACTCACATTTTTAATCTGATAGCATTATATGTATGCAGCATTTCTTGAAGTTAATCTAACCTTTTTGTCCGTCTTTGTTGAGACAAACTAATTGCACTGAGAAGATATTTGTAGAAAATCCGGACAGTGAAATTTAGGGTTTAAAGTTGCAATTTAAACAAAAACAACAATTAGATGAACTGGCTACATTTAAAACATTATTTCTGTTTGAAATTGAATTTGTATGTCTACAGAGTTTTTTGAAGCTTTTATTTTGTGTTGATTTGATCATCAATTGCATATTTCAAAAAAGGTTTTTAAGAGCATAAGAAAAGAAAAGTAGACAAATGATTTTCATACTTCTGCAGTGACCAATCATGTTATCATTAATTTTATTTATTATAGGAGTTACAGTGAAACTCAGTCAGATCCATTTTCTCGGTACTACATTAGTCGTGGAAGTACTGGACAACAGGAAGCAAGGCCTATACCACCCAAACCTGGAAAGGTATGTGAAATAATAGGAACTATATGTAGACTGATATTTTCCTCAGTATCATATAAACCATTAGAAATGACTTTTGTTTTAAACTGTGACATAAAATTACACTAAACTACATTAATTGGATATTGATAGTATAATTTTTCTTATAAGTATTTAACTTTTAACCGTGATATCTCATTTTGATATTTATACAATTAAGTAAGTGGTCAATACAGATTTCACATTATAACTTCATACCTGCCAACTTTTCAAAATCTCCATGGGGGATTTTGCGTGCAAGAGGACCTAATGCTCGTCTTACATTGTTCTAAATGTTTTTAATCTACTACTACATTGTTCGAAAGAGTATGTATAAGCTTAAATACCCTTTTATCTCCTTTGAATGCCAGTTTTGAGGTATTCAGTTAATATAATAAAGAATTTTAAAATTCATGTCAACACCTATCATGGGGGAAATTTCCCATAAATCGTAACATTTAGACCTGTGCATGAAAATCATCTATAGCTATGTTATTACCGTTTTTGTTATTTTTGATAGATGGGCACCTGTGTATATTGTAAATCAGTTGTACCTTTCAACACTCAGTCTTGTGTTGTTTGTGAGGGACCTATACCTCTTCAATACCATCAACCTAATCCAGAACTCAGGTAGGTTTTTATCTAATTTTTCTTGAATATAGGATTATTTTTTAAGAAATTATGGGATTAAGGTGGAGTTAAAAGAGATCTTTTATTTCCGATAGTTTCATTTTCTGACTTACATGTAATAATGTTTCATGATAATCTGTTTTTGATCATATTTTGTTTAACGTCTCACATTAATTTGCATGTGTAACTTTTTACGGAATTCATGTAGATATCATGGTGTTCTGGGTAATTTCATTTCTTTGTTCTTACTTAAATGTATTTAACATGTTCATTAAGATTTGTTTACAACAGCCTTCATAATATCAATAGCTCAACCTGAGGGCTATTCCATTAAAATGTATGTGGGAGGGTAGGAAGGGAAGTTTAATTATTGAATGTGGGTCATGGGTCTTTTTTCAGTATGCATCTATTACCATTATGCAGAATTATCTAAAAAATGGTTCTTGGTTGTAGGGATATTTTGAAAGTCCCTTCCTATCCTCCCACATACATTTTAATGGAATAGCCCTGATCCATTTTGATTGCAATTCAGCAAATAAGAGCAAATGTTTTGGTTTTCAAATTACTGAAATTTACATACTCAACACGTTTCATGTTTGTATTTATTATGTAAACTTTCATTAAAACAGATCTGCAATCAAAGAGAGAGATATACATGAAGATAGGTAAAACTGAAAAATATCAGAATTTTGCTGATTTTTATTTTATTTTAAGATTGTTTGCCAAATTCATTGATTTTGTATTTCCCAGTTTAATGCTATCTTTTTTTAAAAGTCATACTGGATACAGAATTTGAAAATGTTTAAGAAATAGTTACATCCTCAGAAATAGTTAAAAGGGGACCATATATTTCATTAATCACGAGTATGGGAGGCTATTTTAACAAACCCAATGGCAAAAAATGCATGTAGCTGGAATTTAAATGGCTCATCAAAGGCAATACACCTTTTTGGGGTGAATAAAAGAAAAAGTAAGAGGTTATGATTCTTGCATCTTTCCATAAAATTAAATGGATTTAAAATGTTACTAGGCAAAAGTGCTACATGTGATATTTGAATTTGATGCTTTCTTACTGAATTCCTCAATGTCGTTCCCTTTGTTATATTACCAACTGTTTATTAATCTTTGGTGCAGGCTAACATCATATTATTATCACATTCTTAACAATCCTAATAGATAGATCACCACACTTATAATTATATATGTTGTCACTAACTTAGTTCCTTAGATATACTTTACTAAAACATTAATACATGTATACCAAAGTTCTAAATCTAGTATCACAACAATTTCAGTTGATGTCACAATAATATCTCTCTACCTGTATAATATCAACATTTAGCAATAATTTTATATATCGTAATACTCAGAAGTACAAATAAAGGAAAAAGATTTTCAATAGCTGTCTGTCACAGATGATGTTTTAGTCAGATAGACCTTAACCAGTTTCAACTTGTCTCCTTCATCCATAATGAGCAATGTTTACTTTGTAGAGTGGTAAAGAAATACTTGAAATTTATGAAATCCTGCATGGCTAAAACATTATTTTTTTTAAGTAAAAGTTTTAATGAATTATTTTTCATAAGAAAAAATAGTCATTCATTATTAGATGGTAAAACTAATTAAAATCTGATTTTTCAGGATTGAATTTTACTTTTTATATGAACAGATGTATATCATTTTATGTAAAGTAATTTAAACAGTACAGAAAGATTTACAATAAAAGTGTTTAACTTTTTGTTCTATTTAATTTCAGGAATGGTTTCATGTCAGGAGTTGAGGTAAGTTCAGATATATATCATCTGTCATACCATAAAATAAAGAGCAGCTCTAACTTCCTTTTTGTTATGGAGGAAGAGTTGAAGACCTGTATTATGATTGAAAAGTGTTATGGATAAGATGTAAACATTAACCATATAAACCATTCATGTAACTAATTTTCTTGTAAATGATTCAATTCTTTTTAATTTTTATAAAGAGGTATATCAAGAATTGTAAGGTGCTTACAAAGATGTGCGTATGTTATAATTTTTGTACATTTACTAAGTATTGAACAACAGATTATATTCAGTTGTGATGTTCCTTGAAGTTTTACAAACATGCCAAGCTTAATATATGTAGTATATTTGGTGTTGATTATAATACATTTGTTACTAACTTGAGTAAGTATCAAACAATAGTCTATATACAAATGTATTCAGTTGTACTTTTCCAAAAAGATTCACCAAAACACCAAACTTAAATGTTGCTATTTCAGTCACAATGGTTACCTGTATCTCACCCAGTTGGAGCACCCCTCAGACCTACAAGTACCGTGTCTACACAGACAGTAGGATTGTTTTATCCATCAGAGAAAGGATTATCAAACAAGAAAGAAGAAATTGAGAAAAAGGTTGCATTAGAACAGTCTATGAGGGACAGACAACCCTTGATGACACCAGTTAGTCCAGGAAAAGGTAAGTGAAAAGTATAAGAAGAAAATGCTATCTGTTCAAAAGTTGCTTTATGTCCAACATTAAATTTTGTTGGTTCTGAGTTTTATTTTCCATATTAAAAAATATCAACAAAAAAAGCAATAAGTAAATATCTTTTAATTAATACTTCTTTCTTTTAGATATTAAAAATTATGGCATATTGTAGTTACACTTAATGGAATTAAGTTGTTAAACTGGCATATTCTTTTTTATTTACTGAAGTCTTAATTTACTATTTTATTACAGGTTATTGGAGAAAACAAGTGGACCATATCTGTCACCACTTAAAAGCTCATGCACAGAATGATGCTGAATTTAGAGCTCTCATTGGTGAACCTAAGATGGGAAAAGTATGATATAGTTTGTTGTTAGATATATTTTGATTTATTATTATTTTTCTTTGTTAAAGTAAAATGGATGCTTAATTTTTTATTGAGTAAAATTTTGCCATTTTAGAATGCAATTTTGAGACATTATAGTTTATTTTAAAGATGATTTAAAAAAAAGTGGCAGATTATTTGATTTAATGTTTTTTTTGAAGTGTTTATAATATTCTAGATTTTGGTGTTTTGTTTTTTTTTAAATTTATGGGGTATTAAACAAATCCAAATTGTATTATATAGTTTCTTATTTAGTCAGTTCGAGATCGTATGAATGTTTACTTGATACTTTTCAGTTATTGTCGGGAGCCGTACAAGAAGATGGCCATGAATTAAGTATAACCTTGACCTTTGCAATTAGAGGAAACAAAGATCCATTGACTGGTAGAAAACTTGGCATTACAGGAGATTATCTCAGTATGCACACAGAGAATGATAGTCTCACAAGTTATAGAAGTGATTCAGAAGGTAGGAGGGATTTGTTTTGACAAGATGTTGCAAAATGTTGTTTTGGAATTGGATGTTAAATACCAAAAGAGGGCATGAGCATCTTGGAAATGTGTTTACAAAATCATAATTATTAAAATTTCAAAAGGGAGTAATGGACCATTCTTATCAATTTTTTATGCTGGAAGACTTGATATAGACCATTTTAATCTTTCAAAGGTCATGTCCTTCCATAGTATACTTTTTATTAGACTAATGGTAAATCAAAAGTAAAATTGAGATTGTTGCCTCAAGGATAGTCAACCCATATTCTAAAATTTATCTCAAACATGTTCATTAGATACAAACTCTATATATATTGTCTATTCTTTTTAGGAAGTATAACATGTATGAAATTGAATTCTATGAGGGGGTTTAATTTATAGAATAGAGAATAATAGGCAAAAATTGAAGAATAAAAGGCAAAAAATATAAAGATAACAGAAAAATGGTCTAAAAATTTAAAGAATAAAGAAATGAAGGACCCCATCCAGACCCTCTTCTGTGAGAGATAACAAATTCAACTTACTTGTCACCAAGAATTAAACCTGAAAAGATAACTTTATAAATTTTGTTAAGATAGAACAATGCAAATTTGAAGAAAAAGACTATTTGTTTTAAATATAATCACTCTATCAAATGGTTGTTTTATTTTTTAGATGAAGAAATAGCAAAAATAACTGGAAAAAAGAAAACGACAGTAAGGAAGCCAAAACCTAGAAGAAAGGAAACACCTAAAGTAGCTGTAGGTTTAAATATCAAATTTTTTTCCAGTTTAATTAAACCTTTGATCAGTTTTTTTCTGCTTATACACATAATTACTATGCCTCCAACTGACGAAAGCTATTGTGTTTAGAGACCTTTTTATGTCAGTTGTCTCTCTTTTACAATTTGATCAGTTTACTTATTAATATTAAAATCCATTTGTAACTTAAATTTTAAAAGAGGTTATAATTTATGGTAAGAAGTATGTTGTCCTTAAAAAATAATCAAATGATCAAAATTAAACTAAGATAATTATTTATGGCAAGGGATAAGTCCTCGTGGATAATTACCAAATTTTGAATTTAACATCACTATAGAGAACTTCTGTCAGCTGTATTATTAAGTCTGATTTACAGACAACATTAATCAAACAAATGCTTGTTCATTTTCAGCCAATTGACCAGAAAATACTAAAAGAACTTGGTCCTTCAGGTGAGGGAGATCCAACAGAGATTCAGAGACTCATTGATGAGGTATTTATCGTATATAGATGTCTTTTCGTTTTTGTGTTGTTGGGTAGCTGTCATATTGACAAATATCCCACGTCTCCTTTTTTTCTTTGGAATGTATTTCAAGATATTCTATTTATACCAATTCCACACACAAAATGTTCATTTAACATTTAAGTTAAAGTTTTATGTTGTATATAGTTGCATTGAAATGAACAAATGCATCTAGTCACGGGCTAGTCCATATTCTTGGGTTAAGATTTTGTCCATAATAAACAAGAATATTATATTATGTATGTCACTCTGATATGTTTTTTTTTCTGAATAATTGGTATTTTCATTTTGGTATATTTACTTTAAAATTACACATAAATCAGAGGAAACAGTAGTTTTCCAATGTTTAAATCTCATGAATCCGTTAAGAAGATACAAATCAAAGTCCAAGACAAAATCTGAGGGAATCTCATGAACTAAAGGAGCGAGACCGAGTGCCTCCACAGGGTAAGCGTCTCCTGATATGCATGCAGCACCTGTCATGCAAATCCTCACAAAGTCAATATGTCAAACCTTTTGTAAAAGTGTTTTGAATTACAAACTGATAAAGTCCTGAATATGCATGAAATACTTGCCACTGGACTGGAGGTTTAGCAATCAAAATATGGCGTGTAATGAGGTAATTGTCATTTTTTTTTGTATTCAGTTAAATGTTTATTTTGTTGGGATTGTTTGAGTTTTTCTATGTGCATTTTTTAACACGTTGTATATTTTAGGGGGCTAATGCTGAATGTACAAATAAAGATGGTTTACCGTGCATTTATGTTGCTATCAAAAACAGACGAGTGGAATGCCTACCTGTACTGATTGATCAAGGTGTGGAAGTAAATCAAAAGGGACCATCTTCTATGTAAGTATATCACTCTTCTGTTATGTCAAAATTTCAATAAAAATGTTAAAATGTTATGCATCCATTTATTAGAAGGCAGGAAATCAAATTTTTTGAATAAAAGGATTTGTGTGTTATACACCTGTGAGACATTTAAAAACAAAACATTTAGTTGTAAATTTACGATACTCAACAAGAGATACATGTCTATATAGTATGCCAACCCCTAAAGGGACCCATTTATAGACAGTATAAAATAAGGAAATGCAATATGACTGCCAATGAGACAACTATCCACCAGAGACCAAACGGATCGATACCATTAAGAGTACAAAATAATGAAAAGGTTATTGTTTTGTAGAGCAAAATATATTGTCAATAAGGACTAGGTATTATGTCAAAATTTATTTATTTCTCTTCTATGTTTCCTTGTTTTTTTCTCTTTATTTCAAACCACAGAAAATATTCTATTTATTATACTCATATCATTTTCTTTTTTGCAGTAGAGGGAATACACCTCTTCATGAAGCAGTTACTCTTGGTACATCAGGATTGAAAGTTGTCGATACTTTACTTGGGTAATGTTTTTATATTTAAACCAAATAATAAGTGAATCATGAATAAGGGAAATACAGTAATTGGAACTTAAAAAATATATACCCAATAAGTTATATTTACAGTTGAACCTCGTTATGTCGAAGTCAAAGGGACCGGACCAAAGTATTCGACTTAACCGAGGTTCGACTCATCTGAGGTCAAGTGTGTAAACTATATACTTTGAACAGTGCCTTTTTTCAAAATGACACTTTATGGTTGTGTATTCAATCTCCATATTTTTTGGTCCTTCATAATAATAAAGCTCACAATTAAAATACAAATCATGCACAAATAAAATCAATGGTATACACAAATATTTACAAAGATCAGTCACTATAAATTATGAAATCACTCGCGAAACGAAACAAGTTCTGAACAGTCTCTGATGAGGTCCTCTGCTTTAAATCAAATTATTATGAATTTATCATGTCTAAATCCTTTTATTAGGGCCCCGCCGAATGGCAGACGCCCTATAGTGATAAGTCTGTCCGTCCGTCAGTCTGTCTGTTCGTCTGTAACAAATTGTGTCCGCTCTATATCTAGACAAACGTTATGATTTCAAAGTTTATACTTGACATGTATATTAACCAACACCAGAGGGTGTGTCATAATTTATGTACAACTTCCTAGGTCAAAGGTCAAGGTCATAAACTTCGGTTTCAGTTGACAACCCCATGTCCAATGATAAAGATACAAATTTTTTACCACACACTATTCACAGCGGGCCCACAGAGATGGCTCCCATCTCAATGATATCTAGTTTACTGTAATTATTAAATTTTAATTCTAACGATTCATTTAATCTCGGCTTGGGTCATTTAAATTCGTTTCGTTTTTATGTTAGGTGAAATATGTTCAACACACTAACGTACCGCTTGGACGATCCACAAAGGTGTTAATTACCGGTCACCATAAACATGTTATTTTAACTGTTATACAAACAAGTATGTTTAATCAGCTTTAATCTCTTTTGAAAATGATTAGGTTACATAAGAAATACATCCGATTTGAACTTTTATCATTAGGTCTGCATCTTTCGAAAATTCTTGATCATTCTTACTTTCGAACTTCGAGACATCAGGGTCAATTTACATCAGTTTTACATCAACCAGACTATAAAATTTACTCGACTTAACCGAGAATTCGAATCAACCGAGTTCGACTCATCAGAGGTAATTATGCATTGATCAAACAGGAATTTTACTGGGACGGAGAAATTACTTCGACTCATCCGAGTTTACAACACAACGAGGTCTGACTGTAGTTAGTTAGTGACATTGATTATTTGTTTGTTCACTGCTAAAATCAATGATCAATCATGATAAAAATTTCGAATAAAGAAATTTAAACTAATGATTCTTGTGCCTAAAACTATGCAATAACAGATGAGAATAGGAAAAATTAGTTTTTTAAAAAGTACAAACATGTACCAAAACATTTTGTGTAGTATTTGACAAGGAAATATACTATATTTTAAGATTTGTAGAAATATTTCACTTGAAATCTGTAGTACTTTTAAACTATTCATGCAAAAATTTAACTGCTTAATTTCATTTATAATATAAATGTTTTCTCATAACAGATTGGGTGCTGATATTAACAGGAAGAATGACAGAGGTGAAACACCATATGACTTAGCAACAAAGGGAGGATATGAAAACATTGTTAAGAAATTGTGCTCACATTTAGGACAGTCACAACTGGACAAATTAATGAAACATAAAACTAAAGCATAGTTATTGACAATACTTTACATATTTGTCTCATTAGTTGTATGTTAAATCAGGAGAAAATAAGATCCATGGCGCTTACATTTTGATATTAAAGAAACTTGATTGGTGGAAATGTATTATGATGGTAATAAGGGACATGGGAGTATAGAGTAGCTAAAAATGGTGCCTTTATTATGTATCATGTTTAGTTGGCAAGAAAAATATAACGCTGGTAGACATAATAATGGCTTGAAAGGTTTGCAGTGGGTCCAGTGTAATCCAACCTTTTATCTGCAAAGTTTTTACACCCAAAATCACTCAAATGTTAACTAAATTTTTTGAAGTGATCAATTTGAAACTTTAAGAGGTATTTAAAACCTTTTTTTTTCTTCATGAAATCAAGATAGGATTGATCATTTTGGTGATTTTGGTTGTAAATCATGAAAATTCATGCTGAAAACCTAGGTAATCCTTTCAAACTTTTATGGATCCATTCCTTGGGATATATACAGGTGCTTTTCAACATGTACTTTTCACATATAAATGTGACCTGTATCATATAATTGTTATGTGAAATATCAGGTAAATGAATGTTATTTTTTATTTGAAATATCAGAAAAATTGATGTAATTGTCATGTAAAATATCAGGAACATTGATGTAATTGTCATGTGAAATATCTGGGAAAAGATTTAATTGTAATGTAAAATATCTGGGAAAAGATTTTATTGCCATGTGAAATATCATGAACATTATTGTCATTGTTATGTGAAATATCAGGAATATTATGCAATTGCCACATGAAATTCTAGGAAATTTAATGTAGTAGCTTGATATAAAAAATATAAAGAGGCTTAAATTGTTATGTGAATATTCAACTATATTCCATTGACTTGTGGGGCATTTAGGGGTTTTTCTTGTAGTTGTATGTATGTTATTGTATTTTATATTGTGACATGTATGTGCTATTTATTTTCTATCTAATGGAAAACTGTTTGAAAATCACAAAAAATTTAGGCAGCAGTGGTATGTTGGAATGTTACAAACTTTTTAATCAACATTTCATGAACATTGGAAAATTACTTTAACATGTTGGAATAATTGTGTCATTAGAATACTACATATTTGACATATACTTGAAATCCTTGTTTCTATTTAGATAAAGAATAGACCTCAAAGTGCATTTATCGTAGTTCCATCAATCATCAATCATCATTAGTTGACATTTAGTTTAAAGACTTTTTTGCAAAGGAAATTGATATTACATAGAAGTCATAGTTGACTCACACCTTTTCATATTTTCATACTTTCTGTGATATTTTTGTTGTATTATATATTAATGTGTATTGTCTTTTTTACCGCAAGAATTTTTTATTGTGCTGTCAAGTGGTTGTGAAGTGTGACAATATCACATTCATATTTTGCTATTTTCTATCATTATACTCGGCCAACAGAATTATTGTGTAGATTCTTGCCACCAGGTGATGTTAGTAAAGAATGTGTTCATTAATACACAAGTGATATTCTTTCTGATAAAGTTAATATTTCAGGCTTGACCATTTCTTGATATAAGCAAAAATCATAAATGAGAGATATTGTTGACCATTTCTAATATGTAGTCTTATGTACAAAAAGGACAATTTCATCACTCTTACAGATTTTGTACTTAACATACTTAACCTTTATTTATTACATATTTTGAGAATTAGACCTTAAAGTGAAACGTTCTGTTTTTTTTCAATTTGAAAAATTAGAGCTTAAAGCCCAATTTCTAATCTTTTCAACATGTAAACATACATAATTTAAACAATATCATTGCCATAGTGCATGCAGTTTTGTGTTGTTTCATTATGTTCACTGCATTGCAGCAAGTTTGGTCACAATTTGAACTAACAATAAATCTATGTTTCTTTTTTAACCGGTGACAAGAAAGTACATTTTAATTTTATTTTTGCCAAAAAATAGAAAACTGCCATAGAATGGGAAATGCCTCCTTGTACTTACTATTAGAAAGGGGGTATTGCTATTGTAGAAATAATATATAGATTTCCTGTTAAACAAATGTTACCAAATAAATTATTTAAAATAGTTTTCTGCTTCTGTATTTTTTTGTTATCAGTCGACAATGTTAAGTTTGAATAGAGGTATTGCTTTCCATTGAATTAACTCAAATATGTTGAAAGGATAAAAAGCTTGATCATCAATTACAGTAATTCTATACACCAAATATAGTTGACCTATTGTTAAAGTATCTTGAGAAACAGGCCTTATCATGATAACTTAACATTGAATACTGAACTGTGATATGATCAGACAGATATGTATACTTTGCAATGATTTAAATTACCGCTACCACATATAGTTTCCCTATTACTCTAAATAACTGAAAAATTGGTGTGATAAAAAAACTAGTTTTTTAGCCATCATTGAACCATGAAAATTAGGTCAAGGACAATAGACATGTGCCAGAGAGAAACTACAGACCACAAGGCATCTTTATACAGGAAATGGATCATCAAGGTCTTCTTCCTTCTTCAATATACTGTTGCGGTGTAAATACAGAAATTATTGTGTGCATTTATAATTGCGATTTTTGAAAAATGGACAAAAATGCGGGATTAATGATTGTGATTTCAGAAAAATCTTAATACAAATATATGTACATGTATCAAATTCAGAATGCATGTTATTATTGCGATACCCATCCATTCGCATTATTCGAGTAAATAACAACCGTTCAATAATTTTTGAAATTAACAGTATATAGCTTTATCAAATAGTTTATGGTGATAACAACCATCAACAGATAGGCATCCCTATGTCTCACAATCAGCAAAATTCATGACAGGATACAGAAATCTGTCAATATCTCCACAGCAAAAAAGACCAAGTCAGTTCAACAACTTCAAATATGATAAAATCAAACTAGACTGCTGTTACATTCAATAAAAGACAGACAAGGGGGTAAAACTATATGTGCTGCCAAAGTAGTAGTAGGGAATTGTATGATGGTTATTTAGCAAAGAGAACACCATTAAATCAGTGTATGAAACCAGCAAAATAGGTCAACAATATTGGTTTATAGATATTTTGAGAGCATATGTTTGGTCATGTTAAATTGACATTCAACCCGCATCTTTTATTCATATGTCTTTTGTCTAAAAGGTATATAATCTGACTTCAGCATCACTCTTGAAGCTGCAGTAGTGAAGTTTTTGGATAATTTTGTCACATTAAAAAGAGATTTTCTAGTTTTAGAGTTATTTAGTTAAGACAGGTTTAACCATATTTGTGCATCAGTGGTTTGAAAGGTTTAGTTTTTTGGTTAGGTTTGATTTGAACACATGGACCATACTGGAGATCTACACCAGCAGCAAACTATTTGTACATGTATAAAACTTTATACTTTAGAAGACTTGGATGCTTCATACCTTGTATGCAGATACCTTATATTACAAAGTTTCCATCTGTTATATGTACATTGTCCTTGACCTTATTTTCATGGTTCACCTACTGCTTGAAAAAAAATTATTGTTTTTTATTATGTGAATTTCTCACTTATGAGTTATAGGATAACTATCTGGAATCTGGGTTCCTTGCAACGTCTACATGTTTGTCAGACAGGTCCCTCATTTCATGGATCAGTGATCAGGGTTAAAGTTACCTGATTAGGTCAGTTTCTCGGGTACTATAAGCAGTAGGTCAACTATATGTGATACATGGAATGATTATTAGAGGTACATGTCTCTGGCAGGTATTATCTGACCTTGACCTCATTTTCATGTTTCATTGATCAATGTTAAATTTTCATGTTTTGGTCTGTTTTTCAAATACTATAAGCAATAGGTCAACTTTATTTGGTGTATGGAATGATTTTAAGGTGTACATGTCATTTTCATGGTTCATTGGTCAATGTTAAATTTCTGTAGTTTGGTCTTCTTCTCAGATACAATAAGTAGTTGATCAACTATATTTGGTGTATGGAATGATTGTTAGTAGATATAAGAAGATGTGGTATGAGTGCCAATGAGACAACTCTCTATCCAAGTCAAAATTTATAAAAGTAAACCATTATAGGTCAAAGTATGGTCTTCAACACGGAGCCTTGGCTCACACCGAACAGCAAGCTATAAAGGGCCCTAAAAATTACTAGTGTAAAACCATTCAAACGGGAAACCAACGGTCTAATCTATGTAAAAAACGAGAAATGAGAAACACTTGTGAACCACATCAACAAATGACAACTACTGAACATCAGATTCCTGACTTAGGACAGGTGCAAACAATTGCAGCGGGTTTAAGCATTTTAATGGTACCAAACATTCAACCTTTTTCTGAAACAATAGTGTAACATCACAACATAGAAAGACACACTATAAAATATCAACTGAAATGGCTTAACTCAATCAAAGGACATATCAACACCAGTGAACATACACTGAACAAATAAATTTGATCTATGATACAATGTTAGGTTTAGATGTCTGTCTGGCAGGGTTCAACTGACCTTGACCTCATTTTCATGATTCATAGGTCAATATTTAGTTTTGGTGGTTGTTGAGCCTGCAACTTTTGTCGCAGAAAGCTTGACATAGGGATAGTGATCTGGAGGCGGCGGCGTTAACTAACTATTTAAAAGCTTCATATTTTAGAAGTTAGAAGACCTGGATGCTTCATACTTTGTGTATAGATGCCTTATGATATGAAGTTTCCGTCTGTCATATGTCCATTGTCCTTGACCTCATATTCATGGTTCAGTGACTACTTGATAAAAAAGTTAAGACTTTTTGTAATGTTAATTTCTCTCTTATTATGAGTAATAGGATAACTATATTTGGTATGTGCTTACCTTGCAAGGTCCTCATGCCTGTCAGACAGTTTTCACTTGACCTAGACCTCATTTCATGGATCACTGAACAAGGTTAAGTTTTCGTGGTCAAGTCCATATCTCAGATACTATAAGCAATAGGTCAACTATGTTTGGTGCATGGAATGATTGTAAGGTGTACATGTCTGTCTGGAATGATTCATTTGACCTTGACCTCATTTTCATTGTTTATTGGTCAATGTTAAATTTTCCTGGTTAAGCCTGTTTCTTATATTACTAAAGCAACATGTTAACTATATTTGGTGCAAGGAATGATGGTAAGGTGTACATGTTTTTCTGTAATGCATCATCTGACCGTGACCTCATTTTCATGGTCCATTGGTAAAATGTTTAGTTTCATAGTTTCGTTTGTTTCTTTGATACTATAAGCAAAAGGTCAACTATATTTGGTTTATGGAATGATTGTAAGGTGTACAAGACTGTCTGCTAGGGTTTATCTGACCATGACGTTATTGTCATTAATGATGTTAAGATCATGTGATTCTTGTAGTTAAACCTTTATTTTTAAGATTGTCAACAATAAATCAATCATGGTTAGAAAAGCAGTCCAGACATTTCAGCGTGTGCACTCTTGTTTGGTTTAAGCATCTGTATACAAGCCTATAGAATCACTTAAATTAAAGATTGATGTTTACCCACAAAATCTGTGAAAATAAATCTCTCATGAATAATAATGAATACGCAGTACTAACAAAGTCTATGCAAGATTTGGTATTTTCTACCAAATAAAACATGATATAAAGCTCAAATCTGTAACTTTCTGTAGACAATGTATTTGTTGAAGATCTGCTTTTTTATTTGTTTGATAAAGTGCTTTCCGATGTCTGACCAGCTCTGTTGAATTGTTTCTTAGCATTTTATGTCCTAGTGGCCATGTAAACCTTTAATATATGATTTACAGATCTTCTCATAATTGGAGATTTTACACTGCTCTATTAGCTAGTTTTCTGTTACCTCTAAAAAGTCCTCTTTCCAAAGGGGTTTTGTTTTGTTTTTTAGTGCAATGTGTGTATTTAAATGCTGCTTTTTTTAGGACATCATCATATACCGTTTGTGGCAATGACCAAATCTTAATATAAATGTTTGATAACAACATTTTCCCAATTTTTTAATAGTAATGCTAATAAGACAACTACCAGTATCCATAATAATTGATTTATTCGTTGTTGGTGCTTAACGCCACTTTCAGCACTATTGGCTATATTGTTGCAGCCAGTTTTTATTTGTAGTGGAAGCCAGAGTACCCAGAGAGAACCACTGACTTTCGTCAAGAAAACTGGCAATCCACAAATATCATAGAACAAAGATGTGAACAATCATAGGTCACAATAAAGCCTTCAATGATGAGCAAAACCAATACTGTATAGTAAGCTATCATACATTATTTTGTCATATAGCTCTTCAACTGTTTAGGTTATTATACATTCTTGGCTTTCAAATATTCAGCTTTGAGTGTTCCTGATGAAGGTAGATCCAGAAAAGCTCTTCGGATGTCTGAAATTTATAATGTGTTGTTTTCATTTTGATAGAACCCTTTTTTTGGGGGGGGGTAACATTGATAACATTGCATAAATTTTAAGACTGCAGTTTAAAAAACTATAGCTTGGCTGAAAAAAGGGAAAACATCATTGCTCAGGAGTTTTGGTTAATATCCAGTCTATCAAAGATTTTGTCGCACATTTAATTGCAGGCATTATTGATAAACAATAAACAAACTAAAGAAAAAAAAATTTTATTTTCTCAAAATTTATAATTTCATAGTCCCAATCATTTTTGATATAAAACTGTATAAATTAATTTCACAACTCAATATTTATTTTTATGATCTGTAGCTCAAGTGAACATATAAACAGCTATCAGAATCGTCTGATTTTGTTGTCTAGTTATAAAATCCGATGATTCAGATAGCCAACATTTCCACTGGAGCCACATTTTATAGATGTATTTCACTCAAATATTTTCTAAAATTTTTATTGTCAATCAGTAAAAATTAAGTTTTTTTACTTTTTTTTGTTTTATTTTTTCATATTTCACTAGATATACATCTTTGTACACTCTGAATAGTACAACAACTCTTTATCCACATCAAATATTAGGAATCTTTTTTTGATTATCATTTTTTTCTTTTTTAATCTTTTTTTCTGCCATTCAAGTCACAAAATACAGGATAATAACTTTTAAATTTCGTTGTTTTAAAAGTTTCAAATTTTAATTAAATTTTAATATTTCTTTTTCAAGGCCAAAAAGCCTGTATTTCTGCGACTTTTTTAATAAATACTTTTTAAGCAAAAATGGCATTTACAAGAGATCAAAGGCAAAAGTTAAGGGAATTAATTCTTTAATAAAAGTAATTTTGACCTTGGGACGGTAAACTTTTGAGACATCCTTAACTTGTACCCTATATAATTTGATTGTACTCTGTATCAAAAATAGTCATGACCTTCAACAATGTCAAGGTGCCTGTGTAATATTAACTCAGAACGTCAACATTACACAAAGCCATGACTACCGTCAATACAAAGTTACTGTGACATCATTGACAAATGTCTGGTCCACGTTGAAAACATGTTATGACCTTAATGACCTTTGCCAACGATACATGATGGCTGTTCCAACATGAAGTCAAACTCTATAATGAGTAAAATAAAGATATATGATTATGATAGCACTTATAAATGAACATTTTTGTTGAGTAAATGTACAATCATATACAACAATCAAATTGTGAGCTTTTCACTAGTGGCAAAAAATAATCGGCTAGAAAAGTTCCTCATGTTTTACCACATGCATGATACAAGCATTTAACAAGTAATTCCTACCTGGGCAAATGCCACAAACCCATAGAAACAGGTATGCATATATCCAGCAGGCTTATTTGTTACTGACGATAAATGATAAATGTATTCTCTTACCTTCACAAGAAGTCAACTTTTGATACAATTGGACATTATCTATCTGGTGAAATTTGCTGGCTTCTTTTTTGTTGAGTGGCATATTAAAATACAATTGCTTTCAACATCAAAGAGTTCTATACCAACACTTACAGAAGTAAAATTCATATAATAGTATCACATATGCATGTGGTGAAACATGATTAAATAGTAACACAAAAACCACAATACCATATCCAGACTTTCTTGCAACTGACCAAATCTTTTTGAATTTTTATAAGCTTTTTTTTAAGTATCATTATTATTGAAACTGCTCAAGCAAAATTCAGATACTACTTTTTATAACAGCTCTTGTAACATTCAGACAAGATTAGAAAAGTTGCAAGTTAGTGTGGATAAATGGTTATAAACTGGTCTTTGTCATAACACTGCTGGAATGAACACATGGCACATTACCTAGATAAAAATAATTAAATATTATTGCACTGTAGAAAGAATCTGTAAAAATCAATTGAAAAGAAAAGTATGAATGTGAAATGGCGTCTCATATAAACTTCAACAGATTTCACATGAAAGTAACAACTGGTTGCCATAGTGCTATTATCCTACTGTATTGTTATATATTCTTTTAATTCTTGATAAATCTCTTGATAGTTTTTGTTTTTAACTTTTACTTTTCTATTTCACTTGATGTTTTCACAATAAATCAATTACATTGGTTTTAAAAAGATTTGCAAGTCACACTTCATTGAATTTATAGAGATAAAAATGTGACTGTTGAAATTGATGACGCCATTGATATGCATGCTATATCATTGTATGAAGTTTGAATTAATATCAAATTAGTGTTTTGGCAACAAGCAACAACAAAGTTTAGCACCTGATAATTTTTTTGGATTTTTCATTTACCAATATCATAATTAATCATAATATCATTTAGGTCAAGTAATAATTCCTACATTCTCATTCAACTATTTTTTTTTAAACAGGGCTGAATAGATTTTTTTTACCTGGTTTACATGGTAACAAGATTAAAGATTTCAAAACTGAAAATGAACAATTTCTTTACATGGCAAAATTGAAAAATAAATCTAAGGATGAGAATCTAGGAATTAACTTTATCTGGCCTTATAATTACATCAAACAAAATTCCAGATTACAGCTCTTTTCATAATGCTAGCAAGACAAAGGTTTGTTTGGCTTGCTTGCTTTGTTTGTATCAATGTTTGCTCAAGCATTGTAATTAAGATTGACATCTGCAAACAATATAAGTAGGCGGAGTTAAATCTGTGTAAAGGTAAATTTGATTATTTGATAATGTCCAATCAAATTTAAATATAATGTATACAAGTTTAAATCCTCCTTTTTATGTTGTTTTCAGATGTCAATCTTAATAACAATGCTTGAGCAAACATTGATACAAACAAAGCAAGCAAGCCAAACAAACCTTTGCCTTGCTAGCATTATGAAAAGAGCTGTAACTGCAACTAGAACATTGTTTAGATGAACTTTAGGCCAATTCTTATTCTTTCCATTGTTTGGATTTCATTTATATTCCAGAAATAATTTTTATAACGTTTAAAGAAGCCCTTTCCAATTCATTCAAAAAATTATGAAAACAACAATATATATAAAAAATCTAAAATAAATATGAAAAATAAATAAAAAATTTATACAATTTTAAAAATATAATTACAAATAAGCGTCTACGCTTTTATTTTCAAACAAAAACCATCAAATTGAAGATGAACAAATTAAAATAATCAACAACATGTCAAACTTAAAAAAAATAAATAACAAACAGACTTAACTGTTTCTCAATGAGAGAAAAAGAGCAAGAAAATACAAAAAAGCAAAATATTTTAAGCTATTTTTTCATTTTATTATGAATCAGACCAACTAATCTCTGTAAAAACAAAACTACATAAAAAAATGTATAAACAGTACCAGTATATTCAGGGTACCAGTATAATCAGGGTAACAGTAGGTTTCATTTATGTGTTTTAACATCATCACTATATAATATTTATCCTATTCTGAAAATAAAGGATTGATTGATTGCTGTTTGCTAAATATCCAGTGGCAATTATTCATGCATACTCAAGGCAATGTTTCAAAATTAAAAATTCATTTAATTGAATGCAGGTCTTTGTATTAATTAGATTGATTTGAAAGATCCAATACACCAATATCCCAGAAACCATATAGATATTCATATGTCATATAAAGCCATGACTTCATCAGTCAAGTCCACTGCTGTTTTAGCAGTGTACATTACCCACGATTTGATTCCTACAAAGACCTGATCCAACATTTACCAGTACAATTCAGCCATAGGCCTTCTTCAATTAAATTGAATTTGGATCATGGAAAGAGTCGATTGTTATAGGCCTACGGTTAAAACATCTTTCTAATGGTTTTAAATTTTTTTTATTTTTTTCCAAATAATTTTATAAAGGGCCCTTAAGATTTTGACGGTTTTATCAAGAAAGTCACACTTGACAGAGCACATACTTTTTGCATGATGTTCTATGTATGTATGATTTTAGTGTAAATTCTGAAGGAATTAAGTTTAAAAAAAATTTCATTGATATTGAAACACAGAAACAAAACAGCACTCTATTAGTTACTACAGAACTAAAAAAATAAATAACATATAATAACACTGAAGGCCTTTTTTACAGCTGACAAAAGCACCATGTTAAACCCAGAGTACCTTACTACATAAAACATTTCATACACCTGTTTTAATATAAAAAAACTTGACTCTATAATGCAATACCTCCAATCTATATACTTTTCTAAGATAACTGCAGTTCTTCATTGAGAGGCGGCAAAGCAGTACAATACATAAATCATGGAAAATAAAAATTTAAGTATCATTTTGCAGGAGCAATTATGATTTGCAAGCCCTAAATTCAGAACAACATTTATCTTCAGAATCGTATCTTGTTTTTAGCATCTTCCAAGTCATTCCATTGTGATAATTCCAACAATATATACAACCTCTGAAAATCAAGTGGCTTCGCTTAATCTTTGATATTTATGGACACAATGATATGTAGCATTACAATGCATTTTGTACACTCAATAATTTAATGTTATTCATCCTCCATTAATTAAGAACACGTACTCACACTAACTTAGCCTTATTCATTAGACCTAAGTTATAACATAAATGTCAAGCTCTACAAAGCCTTCACAAACAATTCATGCAACACCACTCCACAAAAAAAGCTTCTCTAACAGCATAATCAAACCCGTTTTGTACATCACAACACAACCAGGTTTCATTATACAAAAGTCATTTTTGTCGTCTGCTACATAACACAATCACTGATAGTGTTATGTTATAATCCTTTCCCTCTCTTCTTTATACTTTTCTGTAAGTATTAGCTTTCGTTGCAACAAAGAACCTGAATACTATACTCCTCCCTTTATAATTATTTGCTACTTTCAGCAATATCTGTCCATTTCATATTTAACTTTTTCCTTTCCCAATTCTTAAACTCCATCAAATTAGAGAAGATAGCTTCTAATTCATTCCTAATCCACATTCTTATTTTTAACAATATTTTTCAACCTCTGAATTAATTCCTGAGTCCTGGGGATAAATGCTATTAATATCCTCCAAATATTTTTTAGGCAACAATTTTCATCATGAGTCTCCATTTTTTCATGATGTTAGTTGACACACATCCCTGGATAATCGAGACACCATCAATGAAATATTTGATTTTGTTCATATCTGATTTCGACAAGACATCTGATATACAATTCAGATTCCACCCTTTATACAACACTTAAAAGACAATTGACTAAAACAAAAATTGTCGCTACAACAACCACTAGTACACATATTTGATAAATATTATTTAAATAAAAATAAATATACAACCATGTGGTCTTACAGTATGAAATATATACAGTGTAGCTGCCTTTTATACACATGATGAACAAATGTTTGTTACAATGTGCTAAATTACCGGAATTTCTAAAATTCTATGGGACTTGTAGTTTTGAACGTTCGTCTTCAAAATTTCAGAGTTTCATATCTAATATTTTTTTAACAAAAACAAGTTTGTAAATTTTTAGTTTTGATTTAATATTTTTTATTCAGCAAACAAAATTATGAAATGTATTGCATAGATATAATTTTTTTCTTTGATCTTTCCCTGATAAAAAAAATCTCCCTGAATGACGAAAGTTACTGATTTCAACCTTTTCGAACATTCTATTCTTTAACCTATTACGTTTACATTTCTGAAACTATATATTTTAGATCTTGATTCCAAAGCTTTTTACTTCATATGAGCACTGGAGTAGGTTACTCAAAAATAAGTACCATATTTCTATACATAGCACTATTACACTCTCTTCGCTATCATACCGGGCATGCTGGGCATGCCCACTGAGACATTTTTGTACATATACTCTTGACTACAGAAATCAATCGATTTTTTATATCTTTTTTGCAATTTTCTCTTATAGATAATAAGTACACATCTATGTACAATACAATGACTCATTTATATATTTTGATCTGTGTAACCTTCTTCACAGTGAGATATCTGTAAGTACAAAATCATTATGTATATACACTATGACCTTTAAACTTTGAGCTTTAGATTGGAGGAGGGCCATTTACATATTTAAAGTCAGGTGTTATGGAGAAAGACCAGTTGCCTAACTCAGTAACAGTCTCTGGGTTTAATATGTAACCTATACCAAACATTAAAAAGACAGCAGCTGCCTGAACATAACGTGACTTCAGCCATGTTGATGGTGATGAGAATAATGATGATGCTGCCGATGATGTCCTGCCACTATTTCTGAAAGTATAAATATAGCAATACAGTGTATATATATAAATGTACGTCACAAGTGACAACTCTACGACAGATCCATCCACTGGATCACCAGTGAAGGTCATACACAGCTGAAAACACATATTATATTCATAATTACTCTAAATATCAGCACAAGTTCGAATCCTGGCGAGGGAAGAACAAAAATTTGCTTCTGCAAATTTGCAGATATATATAAAGATAAACGTATATAGAGAGAAACAAGGACAAAGTAATAAATTGTGCAGCTAGTGAAAAAAAACTGACAGAAAAATGAAAGATATTTGAATGTTGTAAATTTTTTGCCGATAGTTGATTGTTTACCAAATTATACCAGTGTGGGTAAACTGATATATTCATTAATAAGATGCATCATAATTTCGAAATGGGTGTAGCAATTAAATTGAAAATTGTACAAATTTATTGTTAATATCCATAAATCTTGTGCGCGAAAATTATGCATTAAGAATTTTCACTTAATGCAATTGAAGCAAAAAAAAGATTTTAGCATCTTTTTTCTTCTTCAAAGCTCAAAAAAACAAACAATATTTAAGGTAGAGAACATCATTAAGAGGTGAATTCTTTAATAAATACAGTCTCTTAATATCTTCTTTTTTAAAGCTTAACTATTGAGTTAATACAAGTTGTTTATTGATATACAGTAGTCCCTCTAAGAAAACAGCCCCTCCCTGGGGTGGCCATCCCCATTAATATTTTATTGGAACCAATTTTCTAAAATTCTGTACTGAAACTTACTTTTCTAATTGTGCTGCCAAGTCCTGATTGATTGTTCTCAACAACTGTCCACATTTTCTCTGAGCTTCAAACAGCTGATCATGGATATCAGCCATGCTGTTCATCATCTGACTCCTAGTGTCATCGTTGAGGTAGTTTGATAGCTGACCTCTCAGCACCTGCAGTTTTTGACTTTTTTCTTCATAACTTTTTAAGGCCTCATTTATCATCTAAAAAGTAAAAGAACTTTTTAAGGCCTCATTTATCATCTAAAAAGTAAAAGTAAATGTTTATCTAATTAAATATAGTAAACCGTTACTTCTTAGGTGGGTTATAGAAGAAAAAAATTCAAATCCAATTTCCATGATATTTTGATGTCAAAGTTCAAAAAATTTATTCGAATTTATTCAAAATAAATGACTGCTTGCTTTTGTTTTGTTTTGCGTCAAATATTTCTGGCATATTCAGGACAAAAACATATTTAACAATAAATTTTCAAGTAGGTTCTGTAATAATGAGGGGCATGCAAGGGTTTTTTAATATGAATATCATGTCACTTCCCCAATTTAAGGCATGGGATTTAATTTCACCAATTTGACTTGACATGACTGTGTATTTATACATCCTGCAAGGCTAAAAATACACTATCCTCAGCATGGATGAAATTATTTCTAACCCCCTTATCAACCCTTTGGGTTTAAAGTTTTGATGTGAAACTGACATTTTAAAAGGCTCTTTACTCATGTTTGAACCTACCTGAAGGCATACATCCTCTGATTGATCCTCTTCTGACTCCAGCCTAGAAGCCAGAACTTCTACGTTGAACTGTTCCTGCAGTAGTTTCTCCAGATCCTGTCTGGTTTTACTGTAATCCTGCCAGATCTCATGGATATGTTCTAATTTTGCCATCTCCTGACTTAGTCTGCAAAGCATAAGACAATTTGTATCAAATAACTGAAACTCAGGGAAAAAAAGAATATGGAGCTTTAGAAGACACTAAATATAAATTTCTTTGTGTAGATTTGTAGAACATATTTTATCATTGAGCATATGACGAGAAATTCTAAGGGTGGTGGGGCTTCTTTAAATCAATCTGGAATATCGGTGTTCCTTTCAAATCATGCTTATTTTATAATGCTAACAAAATTAATCTTGTTCAAAAATCATGAAAGTACCAGTGTTACTATAAGGCTACATGAGATTCAATGATTCCCACCAATATAAACTAATATTAATTTAAAATTTTTTTTAGTCTGAAGTAAATCTAAAACTTTGAGTGAACTCACAAAAGGAAACACTCGCCTCACTACAGACTATAACCACATATTGCAATATGGAAGCAAGTATATTTTATTATCTCCCCTTTAACATGAGGGACCAGGACTATATTATATTATTCACATCCTTGGATAGTGTTATACAACTGTGTAAAGTTTCATCAATATCTTTCTAGTTGATTAGGAGGAGTTGTGCTTACAAGGCACATGGACAGACAAACTGACTGACAGAGCGATTCCTACTTACCCAGCAAAATTTTGTTGTTGTGTATAAAAAGTGAGCAGCAAGAATCAGACTGTTAGATATAAGTAACTCAATCAGTTAGTGTGGATACAATTATTTTCGTGGATACCAATTTTCATGGATTCAAGAATAATTGTGTGTTCATTGATATTCAATTTCATGGTTAAACCAAAGTTTGCATTCAAGCCCATAGTAAATTTGTAACTTGTTGAACTTTAAATTTGTGGCTCACCTTTACCCACATAAATTTGTGGCTCACCTTTACCCACATAAATTGGTATCCCACTAATAGTAATCAATCCACAGTATATAGATACAGATAATAATACAGGAGTACATTTTGTAATACCTTTGTGATCTTTCTGACATAGTCTGCCCAGCTAGTTTTGTTTGGAATAACAATTGGTCCAGATTTATAGAGGGGTGCTCCAGTTCATAAACAGATATTTTATCCTCTAAGTGATAGAACATATCCTTTGTCTGTAACATAGTCTCATGTTTCTCCTGAAAAAAATGAAAACAACACGTTATTAATTTCATGCTTCTGAAGCTCTTTTATGGATTTACCTTCACCAGGAAAGCCTTAAGACGAATATTCGAAAGCTAAGACTGTATAACAAACAAAACTGTTGAAGAGCTATATGACCAAAAAGCACCTAAAAAATAGCTTAATCTATCTAAGGTCAACTTTGCCTGAGGTAGTTGAAACCTCAGTTTCTTTACAATTTCAAAATTTATAAACGGACAATTTTAGAAAGGTTTGTTATAAATCATGTCAGTACAGAAGTACTGACTACTGAGCTGATGATACCCTCGGGGACTGACAGTCCACCAGCAGAGGTATCGACCCAGTACTGTAAAAAAATGAAAACAACATGTTATTAATTAAGTAAAAGTATCAGTAATAAACTGATTGATTTAAATACTGTAAATTAAAAAAAAAAATTGCATGCATTATCATTGCAATTTTTTAGGAATGAACCAAAATGTGAGATCAATTTTGCAATTACAGTAAATGCTGTAAGCAAATAATGCTATAAAAACTTTGTCTGTTTTTGAAAAATTCGTAAGGGTTCCGCGGAACCCAGTGTCTCGCCTACTTTTGCTGTTAATCGCAGGCTCAACAAAAATGAGGAAAAAAATTAATAAAAATATTCCTCTCTATACTATCTTTTGATTGTAAGTAGCTTCTGTCCAAGTTTGGTAAAAATCCAGGATAGTTTATGAATCTAATAAATGTTTTAAAAACTTAAACTGCAGACTGTATGTAATGTTAACTGGAAGTAAAAATAAGTCCATTTATAAGTAAAATACGGAAAAAATGGAACAAAATTTTAACAAAATTTCCTTCTAGATTCTAGTTTTTAATCATAAACAAGCTTCTGTCCAAGTTTGGTACAAATCCAGGATAGTTTAAGAAAGTTGTTAAAATTTTAAAAACTTTAAACCACAGAGTGAATGTAATGTTAACTGGCAGAAAAACTAAGTCCATTTATAAGTAAAATACAGAAAAGATGGAATTTTTTTTTTACAAAATTTACTTCTGGATACTATCTTATGATCATAAACAAGCTTCTTTCCAAGTTTGGTAGAAATCCAGGATAGTTTAAGAAAGTTATTAAAATTTCAAAAACTTTAACCACAGAGTGAATGTAATGTTTCCTGGCAGAAAAACTAAGTCCATTTATAAGTAAAATACGGAAAAAAAGATTATTTTTTTTTACAAAATTTACTTTTGAATATTATCTTATGATCACAAACAAGCTTCTTTCCAAGTTTGGTAGAAATCCAGGATAGTTTAAGAAAGTTATTAAAATTTCAAAAACTTTAACCACAGAGTGAATATTTGTGGACGCCGACGACGACGCCGACGGAATGTAGGATTGCTATGTCTCGCTTTTTTCGACAAAAGTCGAAGGCTCGACAAAAATCAGTTGGTGAAAAAATTCCAACTGATACGGAAACAAATTATTGTAAAACGAGTTTGTTAGAGTGTAAATTACAAAATCTGCAGCAAGGAGAAACTACATGATAGTGAACAATCTCATTTATCACTTCTTGATAAATGTGGTCTTCAATCACACAATTTTTCAGGTTTATTTGAATGCAAATACATTTTTTTTTTTTTACACTTGCAATATAATAAATCAAAATAAAGCCATATCTATCTATAATTGTATCGAAAGCATCTATTTTTGACAAAGAAGTTTTCAAAAATTCAGTCAATAATGCTATTTTTTTTAACAGTAAAATTATGCAAGAACTGTACCACAAAAGAGAAACAATTATTGTCCATTCAAATATTTTGTATATATGATTAATAATAACTACCTTAACATGACTGAGACACTGTTCAACCTCCCTGATACTTGAGAATTTATGATGATTGGTAATGACATCACAACCATTAAACTTCGATTGTATGTCCTCCAAACATTTATATAATGTTGACAATTGCTGTGACTGTAGTTGTCTTTCACTGGCAAAGGCATGAAGCTTCTCCCATTGGTACAGAATTTCTACAATTATACAGAATTAAGCATATTGTTACTTTAACATTCAAATTTGTATTGGTATACCCTGAAAGGGGCATTAATGATAGAAGGGTTGATCTGGGTTAATACCACTATGATACTAAAAACCTTTAACCACATGGCGGAAAAAATTTCATTCTGGATTTTTTGTAAAATATCATAAAGAAGCATACAATTCCCCTAATTTGTCCACAGAAAAGTATGACGACAAGTAAAACTATCATGGAAACCCAATAACCTTCAGGAGCTCATTGGGTAGCACCTACATCATGTAAATAAGTATTCATACACCCCAATTCTCTGGCTTAAAAGCAGAAGGTGAGTTGTAATGACAGTATTGCATTCAGAAGCTTTTTATAAATAGTTTTTATAAATACGATATATTGAAATAATAAATGGAGAATGTATCCATGGGACACAGATGATGCACCCACTTGCATATAACCTTATAAAGGGACATAACACAAGAAAATGTGAAGCCACCCAAGTTCGAAATTCATCTGAGTTTTGTGTATAAGTTTCTTTACGTTTGGTTGAGGCGAACTTTAGAGAATGGAAATGAAAAATTCAGCAATTTTTCCATTTGTAAAGGTGCATATCTCTAGAATGGTAATGCCACCCAAATTCAAACTTGATCTGCTTTGGGGCAGGGGCATAAAAATCTGAAATTGCCAAAAAAATACATAAACGATCAGGTTAAAATGTTTGTACTTTTATAAACCTAATAAAAAGTAAGTTTATCACATTCATCTTAAAATTGTTTTTATCTTTGTGTGTTTGGTTTCTTTAGTTGTTAGGTTAAAGTGCAGTCTACTGTGGTGTTTGATATTTTTAGCAAATAATGTGATTTTATATTATTATTAGATGCCAATCCAGGATTTGGAAAAAGCTGGGTCCACCAACAAGGCAAGATTACCAATGGGACTTGTATAAAGTCTATGCATCAACCATATATGTAGTTCTATAAGGAGTCCCCCTAAATCCATCTCTGATTATTTTCCATTGTACTATTATATATATATTTTTTCTATGTTCAAACCTAGAAAGTAGACACTGAACATTCAGAACAAAAAAAAATCCATTTTTTTCAAGAAAGATTACCTTGCAATGTATCAACATCTTCCTCTTCATCAGTACTAACAACTGATCCCAGGTGTTGTAATACTCTCCTCAAGCAATCTATGTTGGTCTGGCAGGTAGCTATTACTTCAGCCTACAATTGCAAATGTTTAAAACCCTTTAAACAAATGAAAGACCATGTGCATAAAAATCAAGTTTAAAACAAATCTTGACTTTAAAGTGTCATTATATACATCAATGGCTAAAAATAATGACCAAAAACAAACTAAAAAATTCTACAATACTTGTTGGTTATTTCATGTGGTCAGTAAGGCAGTTCATTTAACTTAATGTTAACTAAATAAACTTACTAAACGAAATTACAGGACTTGAGAGTGATCAATGATACAGTTATCATCAAATATTCCTGAATGGACAAGGAAACATTTGAGAAGATTAAAGTAAAGTCTTTTCATTTCATGTTCTCCAATTTCCATGACCATTCTAAAATTGGCAGTGGTAACACAATTGTAAAAAGTTATTCAAAGTTACACAAGAATTATATTAACTTGTGGTTAAATACAGATTCATGGCATATAGAGGCTTCAGACCATGATCCATCATGTTCATTTGCCATTTTTCAAGCAAGAAATTTAAAAATAGAGCTTTAATCTTAATATGTAAATGGTCAGTTGGCATCTATGTATAAAGTTTAAGAAAACAAAAACATTTATTAAACTCAACCATCAAAGAGCTTTATTTAGACTTTTTGTCAAAGTAGCGTGATCAATAATCATTTTACCCAATAAAGGAAACAGCCTAGACTATAATCTACGTACAAGTAATAATTTTTTTATTTATGTGAGTCAATAAAAGATATTGCCCCAACTGTCACCTAGATACACATAATCAATTTCAAGTTATCTAAGTTGAAAGAGTTGAAGCAGCTGAATTAATTGCATAAAGCTGCATCAAAATATTAATCAATGAACGTTTTAGAAAACTTTAGAAAACTATTTCATATACCGTAAATTCAGAAATTATTGTGTGCATTCATTATAGCAATTATTGAACAATGGACAAAAATGTGAGTTTACTCATTACAATTTTAGGAAATACTGCAAACAAATAATGCTTTCAAATTTAAAATTCAAGTTTTAATTTTTGTGAAACATGTCCTGTCACAATTTTCGAAATAATAAAAACATCACAAAATTTTGTATCAAAATAAAATAATCAATAGGAATCAAGCAAAGCATAAGGTTTATATAAAGCTGTCTCCTTAACTAAAACATATCATTCTATTATTCGGATTTATTTATCAAATTATAAGTGAACACTTTTGGTTTTTTTCAGTAAAGTTTCAAAACATGTTCTAAAAATAAAATCTGTGTGAAACCAATGACATAAGATTAATGAAACAATTGAAATTTTGTCACTTCATATCCTCTCACAACACATGGCTCATTACTAAGCATTAAAACTCAATATCAGATATCATTGTAAAGACTTATCTAACCTAATAGGATATTGATTCAGTATAATGTGTTAAGTCAAATCATCAATTCCCAGTAATTACAAATTATATGTTTATCAATATTGGTGAACTTAATTTAAACAAAACAATTTTTTTCTTATTTCATTTGTCAAACTATTTCTAAAGATCTACTTTAACACTTTTGTTTTTGAACATAACAAAAATAACTCATTGGTTTTTATAAAAATGTCAGTCCTAAGGGTGTACAAATGTATTACTGTCCACAAACTACATGGCATAATCACTACAAAAATATCATAGGAAGAATTCTAATTATCTTTTTCCTGTCTTATGGGAATTAAGAAAGGAGATACTTTCAACATAGGCATTGTTTGTCTCATTTCAAGAATAGCTGCATTCTAACCATATCTTTAAAACTGCCTTTTGCAAACATTGTATATTTTATTACTAAAATATCTACGGTCATGTTAGGGAAAATTTATTGAATATGTGTGTTATTTCAATCCATTGTAAGTAATCAAACAGTGGATTCTTCTTAATAGAATAGCCTTTGTTGTAAGGAAAATTATGCAAGATATCAAGTATGCAATTTTTTTTGTTAAACTTACATATTTGCTTGAATTAAGGTCAATTCCTGTGCCTTGGAAATCCTTGACCTTTTTCTTAAGGAACTGATCTGTGATTTTGAGCTGTTTGGCAGAATCTTTGATGAAGAAGTATAAATCTTCTAAATCAGAATCACTGTCATAGCCATGCTTACTGCTCTGAGTAGCCTGAAAATGTAAAAAAAAAACCTGTTATAACCATGTTTATTGCTCTCAGTAGTCTGAAAGTCAAAACAATGATTTCTCTAATGTGGTATCATGCTACAATAACTGAATTTGAATGGAATCAAGAATACTGGAAACCATAAATTAAAACAGTAAAACATGTCTTTACTGAACCCCTTTGGGGTTGAACATTTTGTTATTGTTTTGATAGAATAGTTCAGTATCAACAGGTTTCAAACTTATTCATGGTAAGGTCAGAACTAACTATACAAAACTGTTATGACTGAGGCAGATAACAGAACAACAGAACAAAGTGCACATACCAATGAAAGACTCAAACACAAAATGAGTACAAAGCATTCAATCAAAAGCCCTCTGATCATTTTAATGTTAAATCTTGTTAACTTGAGAGTTAAAATCACTTTGAATGCATTTGAACAATTGCATGATAGCTTTGAAAGAAGACAACCTGACCACCCACTGTACACCATGACCTTAGTTGAGTTTCTGAAAAAATCTATCACATATTCGTACATCCAATACACCTTGTAATTACAAGTAAACGGTGCAGGTTAAAAAAAATTGTAATAAGAGACACCAGGTAGAAATGTAATCTTCTCATAAATGACTAAGGATGGTGCATCTAGTTCACATATTTAGTCAGGCTTGAATTAATTCATTTTTTGTTGCAGATTTTTCCCTTTTAAAAAAAAAATGTTTAGCCTTTAAAATAATTTTGATAATCATAAACGCAAAACCATCTCATTTTGGAAAGATGATTTTAATTAGAAGCTTTAGTGCTGTCTTGTTATCGGTATTAATTGGTTCTGTGGTCTAAAAATAACTATACTAGGACAATTTGAGCTAATTAAACAGTGAAAGTTTTGTTCATTAATGAATATTCCTTGTGAAGCTTCACCACTGTTACGTGTCTATAATTAGCATCGGAAATAACTTTCCTGACAACATATTGGGTAATTATTATTCTTGGCATTGTCTATTACCATATGTCTTCTATACATCAGGGGAAAACATAAATTCTAATTAAGTAAAGACTAAAATAGCAAATATATCCTGAAAAAAGTTACTTATGCTTTAAGATCCTTTATTATCTTAAAATTTACTGAAACTACTTTATAATCTAGGTGAATATTTAAAAAAAGCTCCTACACTAATCTTAAATTTAGGCCTAGTTCTGTTTCTGTGGCATAAAAATGGCTACAAATTAGAGGACTTGAGAAAATTAAAAGTTTTGCTTTGTATAGTGAACATCCCTAATGAAGCTTCCTCACTGCTAGTTGAATTCTGATTTCAAAAACTAGTTCTCAGTCATGTACTAAACAATTTTTATTTTACCTTATAAGGATTATTCCTCATTTTTTCCTACCAAACTTGAATAGTTTTGTCAGTTTCTTGATATGAAGATAACATATATAAAATACTTGAACAAAAAAATGATTTTTAGATTAAACTAATGATTTCAGTATCAAATATCATATTTTTCAATTTAAAAATAAGAAGATGTGGTATAATTGTCAATGAGACCAAATGACGTAGAAAGCTTACTAAGCTACATATGTTTAATATTATAATTTCATATTTTGATCATGATGTAAGAATTCAATACTCAAATAAAACATAACAGTTACAATCCTGCTGTCTTTGTCTTTGATAACAAATAATCAGTTCAACAATTTTCATTATTTTATAATCACCAATGAATATGTTATTACTGATTTTTCGATTATTTACATATGAACATAAGCAATTAAAACATGTACTTTTTTGTTTTTACATGGCTCAATTATATGTAAGACTACACGTAGCACTAAAAGTGTAACAACATAATGTATTTTGCGTCAAATAACTGACTCAACATTTTTATCTTCTTACTCCTTGTACACCATCCATTGATATCGACACATTTTCTAGTTCTATAACTTACAAACTGATACAATCTTTTCAACTAGCAGCACATGGTTTATAAAAAACCGTCATATAATGATATTTATCAATTAATTTGTAAAATTATTCTGCATTCACAAGCAATTAAGCGGATCATCCATTAATGACATATCAAATTTTTCCCTAATAAAATTTCTCCATTTGACATTGTCATTCCAAATGATCACTTTACTCCCACACTTCTTGATCTAACAGACAAATTCTCTACAATATCTCATTAGTCAAAATTAATGATGATCAGAAAATCAATAAAGAACAAGCTAAAAGAAGTGTACCAATTTCTAAATAAAATTTGCCATTTCCTTCATCAAGGACATACTAACATAAGCCTAACAAATCCTTACCAATTTTGGCTTTGACTTCTTTTTAGCCATAACATCTCTCACAATAGAAGAGGACTGAGCAGAGGTAATTTCCTCGTCAAATTCCAAGTCCTGTTCTAGCTGGGCCCAGGAGATGGGCAATTCTTCTTGGTCCTCACCAAGGGACGTGTATACTGTTTGCTGTTTATAGAAAAAGAATTATGTTGTAGCAACAAAAATAATTTGTATCTGAAGTTTGACAGTAATATGATTTACAAGATAAAATTATGTCATATAACCACATGCATAAACAATGAAACTACAAGATTGTAAGAAAAAAGTTCTTGTTTTCCTTTCGTGCACAATTTCAATGCATTCTTTTTTCTGAATTGTCACCTGATTTTAACACTAATTCTTAAGCTAAAAGAAATAGTGCTATCAAACTATTTTTGGTGATTACTAGTTGTCTGAATTCTAAAATAAAATATTTAAAAAAGTTGTTGCACATCATATTGATTCTGTAGATATGGTATCAATATCTTAACTAACCATGTCTCAAAACTTTGTTGGTTCGGACATGAAATCAGTGCTTTTAACAGTACTTGATTCTATTATTTTGCTGTTGATATTTAGCGTTCTTTCCTAAGAGTTACAGTTGGTATACCTGCAAGAAGTTATCCAACCACAGTAATTAGGACAGGGAAGCAGTTTTATTATCTGATACAATGTGTACCTGTTTTGTTACATACATGGGGGTAGTTAACCAACCAAAGACAGGGAAGCAGTACAATAATCTGATCACTGCATTTTTATATATCTGGTGGTTTTTATCCACCGAATTGATTCAGACAGGGGAGCAGTAGTATTATCTGATCCCTGTTTTATTACATACCTGGTGGTAGTTATCCCACCAAACTGGTTCAGACATGGACGCAGTACTATTAAGTGGATCATCATCCTCTGTACAGGATATGTCCGTCTGTGCTGTCACGTAGGCATCTGACACTGAAAAATAAATCAATGATGAAAACTAATTTCTAATAATATCTACACTGATATGCTTAAAATTAATAGAAATCTATATATATGAGTTTAGTTCGTACTTAATGGTATCTTTTAATATCAATCCATTTTTACTTCAAATGTCAATGTTTAGTGTATCCAAGGTAACGTCATACAACCAAATACATGTACACAGTTCATTAAAGTCACCTTGGAATTTTCTTTTTATTTCTCTGGAAACTTCAAAACTTGTGTTTTTTTCTAATTGTGCGTACATTAATTAAATCAGGTTCTATATTTGTAATAAGGCCAAAATAAATGAAGTAGTGATTCCTGCCTCCCTACTCTATATTTTTATGCCTACCCGATAACATTTTTTGAACATTTTTTTGTTAAGAACCATCACAGTTCATAAATTTTTGATTAAGCACCCTATACAGTCCAGAACATTTCCCTAAAGTTTGTAAATGTTTTAAAAAATAAAATCATTTTACCTATCTTATTTTTTTCTGCCAGGTGGCAAGAAACAAGCATATATCTTGTTTGACCTTATAAAAATAGAGCTCATTTGAGGACACATCTTCTATAAGTACATTTCACTAAATTATATTCTGAAAATCCTTTGACGATTAATATAATATTGACTAAATGGTCAATGTAATAAGAAGTGCGAGTTTTAATTGTCCTTAATGGAATGTACTTAACATTGCTATTTTTGTAGTTAAAATATAGATCTACCATTGGTCAACTATACTACATAACACTAAAAAAAAATGTCAATATTTCAAAAATGACCTATTTAAAATTTAACTAAAATTTAATAATTTTTAAGGGGAGAGATTTCTCTTATCTACATGAAAAAAAAGAGAAATAAGCTTCTTTTAGGCGAGTTAAAAATTTTGATTCATCATTTAAAAGTTTTCAAAATCTAAAATAAACACAAGTTTCATACCTTCGGTTTCCGTATCAGTAACTTCCCCACGCAGAGTTGTATCATACAGTTTTCTCTTAACACCACATTTTGGCAAAGTCGATGAACTAAATTGTTTTGGAGTTTCATATTCCAATGTATTTATTGACGTTTCAGACTTAGACAATGTCACAACCTCTTTATCACTAACATCACTAAACTGAATCACACTCCACGGTCTATCTTTTCGTTGTTTTCGCTTTTTTAATTTTGATGTGTCGTGGAATCTAGGGAGAGTTGTTGGTGACAATGAAGCATCAGAATTGAAATCCAGTCCCAATACACTATCACACAAAATTTCCTGCTCGTCTGTTGCTGTTGAGAATTCATCAGCTCCTTCATCGCTATCCTCACTACTTGCATCACATGAACTGATCTCATTTATCTTCGGAGGAGATTCAGACTTCCTCTTTACAGGAGATCTCCTTTCTCTTTTGGGTGACTTATTTTCACTAGCTGGTATTTTTTCACCAACAAGTGTATCAACCTTTTCAATCAGTTTACGTATATCATCACAATCAGATTCTGTACTGGTGTGACCTGCGTTGATAGGGGATACAGAGGTACCACTGCTATAACCAATGTCTCGGCTCTCAAGTCTATGTTTATTCTTTCTAAGCATATCTAGGTCAGAATCACTGCATTCTGATGACATTTTAAACTCCACTTCGCTAACGACTGCACTATCTTTTCCGCTGAAATCTCCGGAAGCATGAGAAAGTCCACAGTTTATGTCAGTTTCTTCAACACATGTACTACTATCTTTTTGATCGCTATCTTCAGCAAGGGGAGATTCAACAAAATCGGCACAACGATTATTCAAAGTGAAACTATCATCAGTGAGAGGACTGGATCCAAATTTTTCCCATCCAGAATTTTTTGGTATCCAACCTGATAAGAATGATGCTGATGAAAATGGTTTCTGAAATTAAAAAATAAATCTATAGAAATATAGAAACATGTACCAGGTTATAGGAAATACATTTTTGAAGAAAAAAGTTCTTAACATTATAAACAAGATTTTTTTTTTTTACCAAACTGATGATTTACATATCTGTTGATAATAAGACTCTACCTTATGAGTTTCTACCCAAGTACCAACTTAAAAAAATACTGAATTACTTTGCTTAAAAAATACCCAATTTCTTTTCTTAAGAAATACCAAATTACTTTTAGGCTTGCTGAAGTATATGATATTAAACTCATACATTCATATTTATATCTTCATCTCTATAAATGCACTTATTAAGATAACTAATTCCAGTTTAATGCTAAACCAGGATACTTTATCCTTTAAGATGCATTGCTATATATTTTCATTTAAATATTATATAAAACAGAATTATCTTTAAAAAAAATCCTCCTCAGTACTTAAGCTAGAAATTGAACTTGACAAAGGTGTAAAAATCAATTCCCATCAGGGAAAAAGTCATAATTACTATTTTTTTATTACACTGTAACGATTTAATCTGAAAATCATCAAAAAGCTGATAAGTCTTTTAATATAAATTATTACGTTAAGGAACAAAGAATAAAGTTAACAAAGAGAGAATAAAAACTGTTATAGCTTCCAGCATCATTCACACATTCATTATTAAACTTGTAAGGCTCTCTGTTCTTTGTAATGTAAAGAACCATTTAGTATCCATAGAAACATCACTGAAGCATCAACTGTGAACTTCTATTTTGTTAAGTTATGATTGAACATTTCATAATAACACTTCAAATCCAGGTATAACTGTTGCAAATATCTTTTTATGTTTTCAATATCATAAAAATGTTATGTCCGTTTGATCAAGTCCAATTTTGACATTAAATTTACGTCACAAGAGTTTATAGGTGTTTTTGAACTTTGTCCTTGAACATTTTCATCAAATTTTCCAAGGAATTTAGTCATTTCATATAATAAAAACTTATTTATTCAAAGATTTATATGCAGATGACACAGCCATACACAGGAATATATTTATCTCTGTTTCTATGAGAACATTACATAAATAAGTAAATAAAAATATACCACATAAATCAAGCGTGAAAATTATTATTTCATTTTTAAGTACTAATTTACACTATTTAAGCTCAGAACCTTTAAGTTTATTTAAATATTTATTTAAAATTGATTAATTTAATCCAATTTTCTGCATCTGTGTAATGTTTTCTATTTCTGATGCAATATTTATCCTCAGCGCCTAAAGGTATATCGAACACAATTTTATTATATGCATGTGCAATATTCACAGTTGATGTAATGTTGTCCGACATGAAATACACAAGAGGTTTAATATGGTAATTAATTGAGTTACTTATGTGAATTACAAGAGAATGAACAATTTAATAAGACAAGAATGCATTGTTTCTGACTACAAAATAACACTTTGACTTAACTTGAAACTCACTTTTTATTAATGCAGACCATAAAAATGAAAAAAGCGGGACCATTTTCAAACTTTATAAATGAGAACAGATTTTGACTGTTACAACTTCCTGCATGAAAATCCAGATTTATGTAAGAATATGATGACAAAATATGGATTTAGGCCTTTTTCTGTCAATTATCCATGATATACATATAGAAAAATGTTCCCAATATAGACATCAATGAAGAAAATTCTTCAATGCATTTGGAATGTTGAACTCAGAATAAATTTCATAGATTTATATTATATTCAATATGCACATAAATGCAATGTATCTTTTGAAATAAAAACAATTTGAAAATATAATTTTTTTTAATCTAACTGACTGACTCTACCTATTTTTAAGTTCTTTCCCCTATGTGAGGAAAGACCTTATTGTTTTTCCAATTAGGTTTTGTAATCAGACTTATGACATGTGTTGGCCTAAGAACACCATGCTACTTCTATATCAACATGTATAATGTTCACGGCCTAATAGCACTATGTAACTTCTAAATTAACCTCTATGGAGCACTGTAAGTAGAAATAGACAGATTCAAATTTGTAGTCTGCCTCATGACAGCAATTTTATCATGTCTGTCAAAGCCATATTAATATAAGACATCATTTTAATGAAACATTCATGTTTAATTTCCAGAGATAATAGTTTCTAAAACATTATATATATATATATATATACTGTATAGCCCCAAAGTCTTTTCTGATAATTTTACTTTCTAAAAATCAGTTGAGACACCTTTTAAACAAATTCTTATCTCATTTATTTTGAACGTGAAAATTGTATAAAACTTACAACTTCCTGGAAACAAGGAACTATGAATCAAAGTGCAACCTACTCAATCAATTATCATAAAGTCATCTCGAACTATTTGATGTAAAATTTACCAAAAGAATTGAAAGCAACTCACATAACTGAATTAAAATCCTAAAACTCTAAACAAAGTATCCAAAATGCTCTGCTCCTTACAGTTTTAGGTGATAAATGTTCATTCTTGCCTCGATTAATTCACAATAAATTGATAAAATCCTAGCGTGCTTCATACCTGGATATTACAGAGAGAATACAAAGAGATCACCTGAAAGTCAATTTACCTGGACTTTTGCAGATTGTGCATTAATTCATTGATTAAACAGAATATTACGTAAAGTGCACTTTTTTCTTGCATCCATATTGATTAAACCATGAGGGGACATGATTTCTCTATTTGCAAAGTACTGAAGGACTACCTGCATACGTGGTACGGGCCACGGTATGACTATATAGGAATCACTTCAACAGCTTGGATTTTTATTCTTACCTGCTAAATTGATCAATTTATCCTTTTATCCCATTCATAATATCTTTTTTTAGTTGACTGAGGTAATGTAATCAATATTTGCTGTAAATCTTATTTGTTAAAAGACTTTTTAAAACTTCCACAATCCAAATTCTTTATAGCTAATTGTTTTTATTTATCAAAAACATTTCTTTTTTATTGTTATTTTTTAACACATGAAAACAGATTAGTTTTAGGGGTACCTCCATTCAACAAATTCTTCCATTAAAAGAAAGTTAGCAAAAGTTAACCATACAACCTTAACTGATATCCTTTGACCCCACTTCCCCACTTCTATGGTGTAGTAAATATGTGTGACCCAGTTTCTGTTTTTTCCTCAATAAAAACTGATGTATCCTTGAAGAAATAACATGACAAATGATTGTAATCATTGATTTCTGTTCACTAAAGTAAATACTATCTTGTCTTTTTATTTCAAATTACTTCTTCATTTATCATTCAATTCTTATTAACTTTCCTCCTTTTCATTTATTTCTTTGTCAATACCTTACATAGTAAAGAATCTGATTAGGGGGGAAATTAACATTCTCTAGAAACCAAGTCCATTTTTTGAAAAGAAATGTGAATGCTTTAGACGTTTTGAATCTTATATGCTCTTCATGTTTTAGTAAATCCAGATATATTGGTTAGGTGCATTGCTCCAAAGCTCTTCGTAATAAAAATATATGGAAATAAAAATTATTTTGCTATAAAACTAAGTATCTATTAAATATTTTGAGTCATATTTGACTGAGAGTAGAAGAACAAAGGAGGAAATTATTATACACAAGATTTTTATTCGCCTCAAATTTTTGAAATGAAAAACATCTGAATAGTATGTAAATTTTTATTTCAAAGGAACTCTAAGAGAAAGAAAATATTACATTTAAACATGATAAGACAAAGACTTTTTTTCATGAAAGTTCAAAGGACTATGACAGTTTGAATAAGGGATCCTGATAAAAACGTAGATGATCTTTTAAAAAAAAATCAAATATTCTACATACAATTCAGGCAGGACTAGTTTGAAAGAAAAATACTTAGCATAGTATGCAGAGGCAAAAATAAGGAATTAATGGTATTTGTGACGTAAGCTGATGTAACTTAAATAAGAAGTATTTCTGTATTATACAATGCATTTATGTTGTATTCTTATTACAATGTAATATTAGCAGTCATTGTGGTATTTCCTATTCAATGTAATATTTGTATTCAATGTGGTATTTCTATTACAATGTTATATATCTAATTCAAAATAATATTTGAAATAAATGTTGTATTTTTATTACAATGTAATATTTGAAAACATGTGGTATTTTTATTCAAATGTCAGTCACAGGGACAAGAAAATGATATCATTTGTTTTACATATATTACACATATAAAACATTAAATGCATTTTAAAATGAAAATAACTCAGAAAAATATCAAGTGAATTCATTTATCTATTCCTTACTACTTTTCTAGTTTACATATTTATACTTTTATTTCCTCATGCTTCAAATTCAACAAAAATCAAAGAATCAAATATCAGTTACGCCTTGAAAGGTTTAAATGATTTCAAAAGAATAATAATTATTTGGCTGTGTCATAACAACTTAATTTGAGCCATAAACATCTCATTTGAGATTCAAATTTTGTTTAAACAAACTGAGGTGTCAATCTTCTTCACGATCATCAGCCCACCATTATATTAGATAAGTTGACTTAATTTTATTGATTTTGCCGGAGACAATCTATGTGCTTTATTTACTAAGTTTGTATCATTTATTTATTACTTCCAAGGCCTAGACCTCTTCAATTAGTTATAACTCAATTCCTTTGAACTCCATATATAGTTAAATAATAGCGTTACACAACTCAGAACAAGACAGCGTCACACCATCAAGATCATCAACGATATTAAAAAGTCTCGCTCAGGTAATCAAAGTAACAAGCGACATCCTGATGCGAACTATATCTTGGTCATTTTATTCCAACATGAAGTGTACCTTTGTTGTTTATAGCGACTTTTATATATAATTTTTCTACAATAGACTACAAAGGGAATAATTGATTCGTCAGTATAAAATTCTCTATAATGAGATATTACCATGCATGATTACGTTTCATCATGAGCAAATAGCATGGCATAAGGTGTGATACATGTTATGTCAATTTTCCCTAACTGAGTTAATCAGAAATATAAATATGGTTGGTAGTGATAGTGACAAAATAAAAAAGCATAAATATTTGAATTAATCGATACTAAAATTTTAAACATGGAAAAGCAAATTTACAATAGCTTATAGTAATAGCTCTAGAAAAAATATCACACAGGCTTCAGTCCAAAGTCCTGCTATCTCTGTTTTCTGTGGTGTCAAGCTATGACATGAACTATTTTAAAGATAACTATACACACCAAAAATAAACATACCATTTAATAATAATCAATTCTATACTATGCTTTTAACCTTTTTTCAGCTTTGTCAAGTATTTGATAAGCTTGTTTAAAATGAATCACAAATTTGTGTGAAAATGTTTCCAAATGTATGCATAATTTTCTTGACAACCAGTACTCCAAATTTAGAATCACAAAGTTTTTTTTATTAGTCTTTCAGGTAACTTCTTAGCCCATTTTATATGCTTTTCTGTAAATTTTTTACCTCTCCAGGAGGTATTGTGTTAAAATCAATTTCCTTTTATGATTTCTTTATATTCTGTTTGTTCAAAATTTGTCATGAAAATTTAATCACTATTGATGGTTCTTTGGAGGTTTGAACTAATTGTTTCGAACTATCCCATTTTTCAAACAATCTATTTCTTCAAAAAGATTTTTTTTTTAACTTTTCAAAGCATTTTTAGTCGTTCCTTATACAATTTTTCAAGCATTTCATATGCTTTTACTATTATTTATGTTTATGAAGCAATTGGTCACTTTTTCAGTACAAGGAGCCAAATGTCAAGTGTAAGCAGTTGTTAGAGCTCTCTAAATCATTTTCTGAAGTGAAAAAGTGTGAGCTTTCAATATCTTTTTCATTTTAAGTGTCAGCATTTTACAAGTCTTTATTTTACAATTAACCAAAGAACTTTTTTATCATTCTCCTTTTTGAGTAAAGACTACCTTTTTAGCTTTCAAGGCATTTTCCAGTCTACATTGTGATTCTAGTGACTGGAGCCAGACTCCATGCCATCGTCGCTGTATCTGTTGGGCAGCTTGTGAGTGTTGAAGCAAAGAAAAATCTTCTTCAAGTTCATCTTGTAATCTATCACTGAGTTTTAGTACCGCATTAATATTTCTGGACCTTGATTCTATGTCTTTCTGGAGCACCTATAATTAAAAATAAAAATGAAAGATAATTTAAAATCACATCACATCACATTTTGTAAATTTTCATTTCAGACTCTGATTGATTGATTGATGGATTGGTTTTTAATGCAACTTTCAACACTATTGTGCTATTTCGTGGTGGTCAGTTTTTATTGGTGGAGGAAGCCAGAGTGCCTGGAGAGAACCACCGACCTTCGGTAGGAAAACTGACAATCCTAGTCAATTAAGATTGGAGAAGAGCACACCTGCCCCATGCAGGATTCGAACTCACAACCTCGGTGTTGACTGGCTAGTGATACAGTAGTTCAACTACTTAGACCACTCGGTCACAGAGGCCCCTATTTTGGACTATTAAGGACAATAAATATTTTAATTGTTCATGCCCATGAATGAATTGAATGCCATATGATTGGTTGATTTCCATTGCTTTGATGCTTAAGATTCTGAAAAAGGGAATTTCTATTTTACTGTTTAATAGCTTAATAAGTGACTTGTTTAGATTGATAGTTTTTTAATCCAATCATATGATTGAGTGGTTTTTACACTCTCTTCAATCTAGTTCATTTCTCAATCAAACTGAAAGTTAAAAAATATAAATGTTGATATTTTTTGCCTTTCAGTCTAATAGACAAAAAGAAACAACTTAAATAAAAATAAAACTGTAAAATTGACTTTACATTAAAGGGTGTTTGCTAATGATATTTTAAACAACTGTATTAATGAATGTAGCTAGTTTCCAATTAACAATGTCCTCAACATCCACATCATAGAAAAATAAAGACAGGCCATGAGCGCATGATACGCCCGTCGCTAATTCAAAGAACAAAGTTCCTCAATGTCATTTCAGAAATTATAAAAAACTAAAGGGAGGTTATTTTAATAGATATAAAACAGTCACCAAAGATTCATGAAAACTGCTCAAAGCACTTTTGAGTTATTGTCCGAAATCTGGAAAATCCCCCCCTTTTTTATGAATAAAATCCAATAACTTGGAAACGTAAAATCTAAAATTTATAAAAATCAAATGGGAGCTTACGTCAATTGATATAAACAATTCTCCAAAGTTTCATGAAAACTTCTCAATGCATTTTTGAGTTATTGTCCGAAAACAGGAAAATCCCCCTTTTTAATGAATAAAACCCCATAACTCGTAAACATAAAATCTAAAGTTTTTAAAAATAGAAAGGGAGCTCAAGTCAATAGATATAAATAATTCACCAAAGTTTCATGCAAATTGGTTAAAGCGTTTTTGAGTTATTGTCCGACATGTTGACAATGGATGGAAAGACAACGGTTAACCAAAATACATCCCGTAAACGGATGTATAAAAACTCAACTTTTTACAAGATTATTTCTTAAAAACTGTATGTATTTCTCAGAAATTAATTACAATGGAAGACAAGCTGGAAAAAATATTCTTTACCATTATTTCCACATATTGTATTTCTCTTGTGATTCCAAAGACTATAATATTACCTGCTAGGTTTTACTTTCGATTAATGATTATATAAAGAATCAATCTAAAATGTAATTGTCTTCACTCATAATAATGTCTTTGAAATGCAAATATACGATTATTTCAAGTCATTTTAACTAATTCTAGTTTCTATAGTAATATGATCCATAACAAAAAGATCACATTCCCTTCTATGTTTTATTGTATTTCAAAATAGAAAGTCATGAAAAGATTTTTATTCAAAATCACAGCCTGCAATTCTGACTTTGTTTATAGGTAAATCATATATAAGAAAAATTAATGAAGATCCAGCTGATTCCCAACACATATTGTAATGATTTCCGTAAGCATTTCCAGTCATATATAGAAGTTGCAAAGAAAATGGCATAGGTTAAAAAGTACAACTAATTCATCAACAATGATAAAATCAATAAAAACAATTGCCAGGACATGTTGAATTAAGGGATAAATCTATTTTAGATTCCAAATTATGTATGGACAAAAATGTGTGTCAATGTCTGTGGCAGAGGTCATCATGAAGGTTGTTGTTAAAAAGAGGCTCCCTTGCCTCTTTCATTATTGTAACTAGATCCTTTCCAACTATCAAATGTTTCCATTTTGGATAAATGCCCAAGCTAAAATGTTCCCATCAGTATAAAATGTCAACTAGTTTCAAGTTGATATGACCACAGCTTCGTGGAATAATACCAAAACCAAAACTTTATTCTGATTTGTGATGTACCGACAGACTGGAAACAACGGTATACCATAATACGTCCCGTAAACGGGCGTATAAAAATGAATGCTCCCTACTATTGTAGATAAGATGATAATAAAAATCTAAATTCAAACTTGAATAAACAAATTCTAGGCAACTTAAGCATCAAATATTGAAAGGAATCATGTACTCATTCATAATCTGCCAAGTTAGCAAAATCTGCTCAATGATGTCAGTACATTTTTATAAGTGAAACTTTTTTTCTTATAAACATGTACATATATTCACATTTTTTCTTATGGGAAAAAGAAGGATCATCAATCAGAAACTTGCATAATATATTGGATGAAAACATTTCAAAGGTCACTGTGATGGATAATCTCTTGCTAGGTTGTACATGTAATTCATAAACATTTCTTAATGTGGACAATTTTATAATACTTCATTATTTTTGCACTTTACTTGTAGCATCACTACACCTGTTGACACAAATATAAAAAAAAACCCGCTAAATTAAAAACATTAACATGCAATTGATCAAATATAAAAAATAGCTGAATTTTTTTTTTAAATAAAAAAAAAATCTAAGTACAAATTTATTGACTAAAATTGAATGATGACAGTTTAATGCCACGTCAGCACACATGGATCTTGTCACAGCAAGAACAAATTTTCCAAAATAACGTAAAGTATAGTTGGTTAACGTAATCTAGCTGTCTATATTTTCCCAATTGATTTAAGACGTATCTTGTTTATCCTTTAGTATAAATCAGTAATCCCCTGCGCTGGTCTTTATAAGATTTAATGGTATGCCCTATTTTTAGGTAACTAGATTCCTGTCAAATTAACCAAATTTAGCACAGCTTGAAGCAACAAACAGATCGATAAGCCAACCACTCTACAACAGTGTCATCTAATGTTCGGAAGGATCGTTTTTAGTTATTTTTGGAAAGTAAAAAAACATTGTTTGGACGAGATTAGATTTGTAATGCCTAAACAAAACTCTTCCCGAACCATCAAATTAATTTCAAAGTTGATTATCACAAAGAAGCCAAACAACAAACAATAACTGTGTTTTCCTTTATAGGCGAAATGTAGACTTCCTGAATAGCATTTCTACACAAACAAAGAATAAGAAAATTTCATTTCCTGTCTACATCAACTGGCCATCTCCTCGGTTTCCTTCTATGCTGAAAAGTCTGATATAATTTGTCTATCTGGATTATTTGTTAATGACAATTTCCATCAGATAAATGGACTTTATATGAAGGAAATATTCACTTGTTTATATGTTTTATCGATGTTAACTAAATTTAGCTATCTACAATAGATAGAAGTAATCGACTTTTGTCAATTTAGTCTCTACTAAAAAAAACTAATGACAGATATTTCTAAAAACAAATCCAATTTTTTTCTTATGGGAAAATTTTTTTTCTTATGGGAAAAAAAGAATTAATCCATCAGAAATTTGCAATACTTCATGTGTGCTCTGTAATTTCTTATGGGAAAAATATTTCTTGGGAAACTGAAACATATATCAAAAGCTTGTAGTAATTCGTGTGGGCCATGTAATTTTTAATAAAAGTTAAATGATGATGAATTTGTCTTGATGATTTAAGATGTAAATAGGGAACTCCAGCTTAACATAAAATAATTATACATGCTTAGTATTGTTTGACTTCATCTAATTTTGAAATATTTTTTTAAATAATAAAATCAATCTCAAATTTAATATTCCAATAGCAAAAAAATTCTAGATACTGGTATATATTTTATACAATATTTCATGATTAAGAAAAACTGAAAAACAAGGAGAAAAATTATGAAATTATAATTTTCAAATTAATTTCTAAAGGAAAATAAAACGATTTGCAATCTTTATATTTAAAACACCCCCCCAAAAAATGGTGAAAAAATATTTCTGTGACTAAGGTTTATTGTGCAACAAATGCAAATAAACGCTGATAAGACTTCTAATCTTACCTTCTATATCTCTAAATTCAAATCAGGACCTGATCTAAATCACGTTTTTTTTTTATCCTTCGTCAAATAAATATCCTTTATTTTTCTTTTTTTTATCAAAATATGTCCCTCAAAGAATTTAATATCAAACTAAAGAGATACACCAAATAAACTGTGGTGTATCTAAACAGAGAAAAAGTTTTGTTAGATTATTACACCTGAAGCATACCTGGACAGGTGACTGTAATATTATTGATCTAACAGCAAACATGATGATTGGTTCCCTCAGGTTATTATAAAAACTTGTTATTAATTTACTATCAAATAGGTCCTGAGTAAACTAATATAGTACTATGGTGTAATAAAATATAAGAATAAAGGGAACAAATCAGAGCACTATGTACTAAGTTACCTAATATAGCACAAATACGATCCATTGAAAATAAGTGTGTTGTGAAAGACGATAATCCTGCTGGAAAATCAGAATGTAGTCCTAATTTGACTGCAATATAGCACAAATAAAATGCAATGACTTAATAGATCAACTGCAAAATAGAACTGTAGATAGTCATTTTTTATGAAAAAAAGAAGGACTTGTATAGTAAATTACTATAAAAAAAATCCTTGAAAAAACTCAGAAATGGTGTTTTTGCATCATGGGAACAACAAAGTTCTAAACATCTCTGGAAAAAAATCTATTTGAAATAAAATGAGATTGTAAGATTTGTTATTCACATGAGTAGATAAATTATGAACATGCAAATTGTTAAAAATGTTTCCCCAACATATACAGAATTTTTTAATACATGTATGAGGTAATGAGCAAAATAAATGTAGGTTGTATCATAAAAAGATACTGCAAAG